ATAACATTATTTAAATAGGAATACGGACGGGACCGCTAAAAAAGTTCACTACATCCGAGTGTTCACTATATCCCAGGTTCACTATAGCGGGGTTCGACTGTAATATAATATTTTAAACTTACATAAATATCAGTTATTAAATAAGAATAATAATAAATACAAAATGCTGCCCAGTACATGGCTTTTAAAACTAATTATAAAGATAAGTTTTATCAAAATTCTAATTCATTTGATTTTGCTTACAAAAAAAAAAAAAGAAAAAGANAAAAAAAAAAAAAAAAAAAAAAAAAAAAAATCAATAAATAAAATAAAGAGTTTATAGTAATTATAGTGCTAAGTTAGAAACTTAATTAAGTGGTATTTTGTACTGATTATTCATCATTATGTTTTATCAAATCAAAACAAATTTGGATGCCAGCGAATAACGCTTTCAAGAGAATAAGGATATCCTTTGAGTTAAAAATACTTCAAAAATTTATTTTATTTTATAACCATTATTGAACAGCTGACCCTGTATTTTGAGTATACAACTACTAATGTTCAAATCCAGAAAACAAGGGAACTCGTAGATTTAGTATGGGGAGAAATTTTGCCATTGTGGAGAACTTTTTGATGGAACAAATCCGCATTTGTGTTACAAAGAGAGGAAAACCACGAAAACCTCCGGCAGTTAGTCTGAAGCAAAGTGACTCTAACCCAGGGTTCGTCTAATACTGAGGATATTTTGCATCATCACTGTGGTCGTTGCAAGCCAGATGCAGAGTTCATATAAACCAGCCATCGTTGGGATTCAAACCCGGCTCACCACATTGAAAGTGAACGCTCTATCCCCTGAGCCACCACCGCTCTTTAAAAATTTACGGTAGAACTTCATCGACAATACTTTTTAACATAAGATGGTATAATATTTAGAACTGCCATTTATTTTTTGAGAATTAACTACACAGGCATTTATTGTTAAAAAAAACATCTTTTTTTTTTTTGCCTATTTTTTATACAATACCATTGCTGGTTTCTATTCAATTAACCGAAAATACTACATTAAATCAGTAGAGAAGTATAAGGTAATTAATGAATGAAAACCAAAAATCCCATTGAACCATTGCTGGTTTCTATTCAATTAACCGAAAATACTACATTAAATCAGTAGAGAAGTATAAGGTAATTAATGAATGAAAATCAAAAATCCGACTGCACCATTGCTGGTTTCTATTCAATTAACCGAAAATATTACATTAAATCAGTAGTGAAGTATAAGGTAATTAACGAATGAAAACCAAAAATCCCACTGTTGTTCATGAATGTGATGTCATTAACTGCCAAATGTTTTTAACACAATAATATTTACTTTCTTTTCATTAAAACAAATTGCTTTCAATATTCTCCAAATTGTGTCACCTATTTGTTAAGAATTAAAAACTTTCTGAAACATAAATGCTAAATTAGGATTTGATAAAATAGTGTTTTCCTTAAATTAAACGATCTGAAAGATACTTATATATTTAACTATTGATAATCCCAAAAATTACCAATCTAATTTTGCTGAATATTCCATGACATCAAATAAAACAGGCTTCATTTCTAAAATAACATTCTGTAATTTATGCATGATTTGAGTTTCCTTATCTGGAAGAGGACAATTATGTATTTGCAAAGTAATATGGAATATTTTTAACAACAAAATTCAATCATTTAAATAAATTTGCTAGAATTTTTTTTAAGAATCATAGTTTAAAACTGATAAAGATATAATTTTGAAAATAAAAATAAAGAAAAATATAATTAAAATAATACTTCAAAACATTAAATTAAAAACATTCTTTAAAATTGCAGTACTTTGGATTTTGTCAATAGACCTTATAAAAACAACATAAATTTTTTCCTTAAAGCTTATTATTAATTAATATCAATAAAATGTTGAAATTAAAAACAGATGGTTTGAGTTTTTTTAAAGAATGGAAAGTGCTTGAAATGTTTTAGACTTTCAACTAAACTAAAGTTGAATGACATCCTTAAGTTTCATAACGATAATTTTTTAAAATTCTTTATTACATAGTAAGCTATATAAAAGCTGTGAAAAATATGGATGTTTATTTCACTATAAATGTCAATTTAATTTAAAGAACAAAGTATTTGCACAATAATCATCCAAAAAATAAAAAGAAATAAATTCAAAATTTCCATTAAAATAATTTTATCAAATCTTAGCAGCAAAAATTTCTTCAAAATTTCAAAAGCATCATTTTAATCACATCATTATTTTGATTATACATTTTCAATTGATCATTAATTTAGGTGAATAACTGTATAGGTGCAGTTGTCTTTTTCTCGTAGAACTGTGCTGAAAAAGGCTGTGCGCATAATAGAACAATTTAAACACTACTATTTAAATATAAAAAAGGTAAAATGACAATAATATCTTATTTATATAGTGCAAAATAAATGAGTGCAATTTTTCATTACACCAAACTACAAATATGTCAAAAATTAATTATAATAAAAAAAGTCAAAAATAATGAATACAACACTTATGAGCAATTACAATTTAAATCATTATTATAACATGAAATGTCTTACTGAAGAAAGCTCCTACCTTCTAGTAAAAAAATATTTATATATGAAAAACTACATAACTTGTAAATGAAAAATTTATTATAATTAATGTTAATTTTAATATTCTAAATACATATATAAATAGATATTATGGACAGTAAAATTCTAAAATTATGATTAAAACAATATTTTTCTGGTAGAACTCTTTCAAATAAGGTTGTGCAATATTTAACAATTCAAATACTATTACTTCAGAATACAAAAAAAAGTAAAATCACAATACCATTTTTTAATACAGTGCCAAACCAATGAGCGCAGTTATTCATTACACCAAACTATACCTATGTTAATAATTTATTCAAATAAAAGATGCTTAAAAAATAATGAATTTTACGACACTTATAAACAATTACTATTTAAAAATGTAGCAACAGAATTACAACGTAAAGTTGTTATTTTAATAAATTTATATATATATATATGAATAAACAAATATATATATGTATTGGGAGTACAAATTAGTTTGGTCCGTTTTCAAAAGATGGCTCTGGCTGTTATGCATGTTTCAGAGTGACAGCTGGTTTCGGTGGTTTCAGAGAGGTTAGACATCTGTTAATAATATTCAGTTTATCTCTCTGAGTTTCATACAAAAACCTTGCTTTTTACTTCGTCGAATGTGTCAAATTTTGTGGTAACTAAGCAGCATTTGAGGGAGGCTTTATGTTTCTGCTTTAATTTTAAAAAAAAAGTGCAGCTGAAGGTCATCAAATGCTTGTAGAAGTTTATGGTGACAATTCTCCAACTGATAAATCACATAGGGAATGGTTTTGAAGTTTCAAGAATGGTGAATGGTGCTGTACACTATGAGCTGCTACAACCTGTCGATTCCATTACGGGCGATTGGTATAGGCTACAATTGATTTGTTTGAGTCGTGCATTATGAGAAAAACAGCCAGAAGACAATCAAAGACACAACAAAGTTATTCTTCTGCATTATAACGGTCCGCCTCATGTCGCAAAAAATTATTTGGAAACGCTCAAGTGGGATATTTTACTGCACCTGCCGTGTTCACCAGACATTGCAACTTCTGATTATTGGTTGTTCCGACGGATGAAGCACGATTTGGCAGGTCACTGGTTCACTTTTTTTGCAGAAATCGAAAATTGGCCCCTAACTTGGATCGCCTCAAAAGACGAGACATTTTTTCGAGATGGAATTCGAAAATTGCCTGAGAGGTGGGAATAAGTAATAGCCAGCGATGGACAATACTTAGACTAATCTTTTCATTCATTTTGTTCAAAAATAAATGCATTTTTGATCATACAAAAAAAGGGACCAAACTAATTTGTACTCCCAATATATCTTTATATATAAGAAGAGAGTGGAATGATAACACGTAGCCAATCACAGAAGACTTCTGGTTAGTAACGCACATAATAGCCAATCAAAATTAAGAACTCGTGTATGTGAAAAGGTAATAATTTTTAATAATGCTGTCAAAAAATAGAAAATAAAAACTGACCTCAAATAAAACTCAGAGGACTTCGAGTCAAATAATTAAGAAAACTCTACAATTACGTTTATAAAAAGGAAGATTTATTAACTCAACAACAAAATTATAACATTGCCATTCCAAAAAAAAAAAAAAAAAAAAAAAAAAAAAAAAAAAAAAAAAAAAAAAAAAAAAAAAAAAAAAAAAAAAAAAAAAAANGCAAACGATTGTTTATGACGTCATTAGATAAAAGTGTCATTAACGCAATATTATCCAGTGTTTATTAATAATTTTGAGTGGCAATGTAAAAAGATAGTTGTTCTAAAGTTTTATAATAAAATGTTTGTTTTGATAGAAAGCAGTTATTTATTTTAGAATTCAAATATATTTTAATAGCTTTGATAAATCGGGTAGAGTATTGGAAGCACGAATCAACACTCTCTCAAAAAACTATTTACATTCCAAATTATCAAAATATATTGAACAGAGTTTACTTTAAAATACTTATATCTTTTATAAAAAATGAATCGCCGTGAATATCTTAGGCGATATCAACAGCGGCATAGACCTGAACATGATTTAGCTGCACAAAATTAACTGGAAAATAATCATAGTGCTATCAATACACGACAGCGGAATGCGCAGCGAAGAAACGTTGAGAAGTCAAGACGTTTAAATGAAAACGAATAGCTTGGTGTACTTACGAATACTTCTGATTGAGACTAAAATATTTTGTCAGTTGACAGCATTGAAGTTAATTGAGCAATTACTTGCAATGGTATTTGTTTTTGAAATATTACTTAGAATCAACTTATTAATATTACATGTTTTAATTTGTTTGTAATTTTTGTAAAGTTTTTTTTCATCAGGTTTTAATTGTTTTCAGTTTAAAATTTAAATTACTGGGGGGGGGGAGANATCTTAAAATATGGAAGCAAATAATAAGTCACTTTCAATTTTTTAAAAAAAGCATTGAAAAAAGTATTTTAACTATGATAGAGCTGTTTCTAAAGTCAAAATATAGAGAATAGAATAATTTGGGAGAAACGTGCAATTGCTACTAAATTATTCTTGCATTATTTTTCTACCAGTTGTAATATTTAGATACTCAAATATCACTGTAAAGCAGAACACAATGTATAAAAGCACACAGGATGAAAAGACCAAAATGATAAGCCTGCCTTTACTATCTATATCATTCAATCCTTTATGTGTTGCGTTCTAGTCGATTGTTATGGGAGAAAAAATCACCACTCTTTGAGTCATTTTTAATCAGTTTAAATGTATCACACCCTTAAAAATAATCTTTGAATTGGAAAAAAAAAAGAAATTCTTCATATTTTTTCTGAGTTGTGCAAACAGCTTTTGTTCGTCAATGGTTAGCGAAGCAACTTTGTCAATTAGCATTCACAAATTAGTATTTATTTCATTAATTTTTTATTTTGCAAGTCAAAAATTCTCTTTGTTTTTTTGTAGTATTTAGATTAAACGCCATTATTTTACTGTAATAAAACTTGATTTTCTAAGGTGAAATTTTATGTACAAAATATTGGAAGCACAAGCCCAACTTTAGAACACAACATTAAATGTTTTTATATGAATAATTTAACTTGATACATGGTTGTTGGCTGGTATGATTCATCCAGTTTCAAAGAACTTTTAATTTACAAGTATATAACCTACATAAATGAGTGATAAATGGAAAGATACAAACACTCACCAAGTTTCTGGTATATATTACAAATATTCAATGCGCGCACCTTTGGTCATTTGGCACACATCTCAATGGCAAAAAAGTTCTGTCGATAATGTTCAATAGCATGTTTTTATCAAGACAAAATTGAGGCCGCTTAGTGGTCCCTTCACAAAATTCAAACTCAACAAGACGGCCTATCACAAAATTCTAATTTGTAAAAATAATCATAAAAAAAAAAAAGAATTTTTCAAAACTGTTTCTTCTTCAATTATATAAATGGTCACATAAAATTGGTTTATGACAGATTCTTGAAAGAAAAAAAATCTAAAAGCGATGTAATTTTACGACAGCATGGTTGCGAATTGAAGGCATCAAAAGTCAAATTCATTATTCCAGTGTTTTAATAGCATATTAAAAATATTGCAGTTTCATAAAAATCTTAAGGAAAAAATTATCATTCCATGCAGTGAAGTTATAGTGAATTCATTTCAAATTGAACAAGTCAAAGAGTGATTGACAAGTCAAATTGAACAAGTCAAAGAATTTGAATGACGTAATAGAAATATCAGAATTTGAAAAATATGTGAAGAGGGCCGAAAATATAAGAAATTATTCAGAAAAAACTTATCAAATGACCTGACATTATGATGGAATCTTATTTCTAATTTCTAGGTCGCATCAGAAAATGATAACTCAAGTTTGAAATTTGCATGAAATAATAACATCACATTAAAAATATCAAAATTTGAAAAACCACGTGAAATGATAAACCATGTGAAAAAGATAAATAATTTCTACAAAAACTATCATCAAACAACTTGAAATTAGGATGGAATCTTCCTGAATTGCATGCGCCAAAAAGTGATAGTAAAAATATCAAAATTTAAAAAAATTCAATTAATTAATAATTAAATAATAACCGAAAATTAATTAATAACTGAGGGTAAAACTATCATCAAACAATATGAAATGACGGTGGAATCGTCACAATTTAAATTGTCAAAAAGTAATAGCTCAAATTCAGAATTAAAATGTTGCAACAATTTACAAAATATATCAGATTTAATTTGAGAAGTAATAGGGACTGAAAAACAATCGGAAAAATATGTGGATATTTACAAAAAATCGATAATAATGATAGCCTGTTATATAAACTATAAAATATTGAAAACCTGGAAATAATTGTTTTTAATAAACATACTTGATTTAATGAAATTAAGAATGATGACAAGTTGAGGGAGACAGATTCAGAGGCATTCATACAAGTGAAAATATTATCAAATGCGGGAATTTTGGCCTTCTGAGCCGGAATGAAACTTCCCAAATGTCCCATGTACACCAGTAAGGCTACCTGAAACAAGATAAAACAATTTTTCAGAATTTGGATAAAGTTACACCGAAATATTAAGAAAAACCTTTTTTTTGGGGGGGGGGGTACCTCACCTGTTTTAAATATATACTCTTTCCACTTGAATTGGGTCCTGTCAGGACTTTGATTTTACTTTCTGTTCCACCACTAAAAACATTATTTCCTACAAATGAACTGACACATATTTCTTGCAAAGGATGCCTGAAAGAAAACAAAACATTTATTTTTGGACAATACATCTGATAAACATTCAAAGTTGAATTTGATTTTAATACTATTGTTTTTTGTTAAAATTATTTCTAAATCAATGAGATTTTCATATAAAGAAGTTCCTTATTCAAAGAATAACTCAAAATTAAGCTGAAACGGGAAAAAATTGATAACTATTTAGATTTGAAACTATTTAATCAAATAGCTTTATGTATGTTAAAAAAAATTCAAACAGAAATTTTCAATCATTTAAAAACAATGGAATTAATTGCACTTATATGTTAACTTGTTTATTGATTTGATAGTAATCTAAATTTTTCGGTTTGTTAATATTAGGTAGGAGTCGACTGAAGGGAAAATTTTTCCAAAGTATTACTTTTTTGGTAATTAATTTCAGAAAAAAAGCATGCTTTAAGTATCTCATTGAATTTTTCTCAAACATTTTTAAGATTGTAAGCTTTTATATATATATTTTTTAAAAATTCAATATGCTATGCACAAAGAATATATGTATTCATTCTGATATAATGAAATTGCAGAATTCAGAAAGGTTTCCTGAAATATACTAAATAAGTATTTGCAGATTACAAAGAGATGGCATCTTGTTATATTAAAATATTTACAAAACAAGCTAAATTACAATCAGTTTTAAAATGATAAAAATATGGAGTATTTCTATATAATTATTTTTTTGAATATTTTTTTATAGGCACTTTAGAAAGATGTAAATAGATATTCTTCAATTGATAATAGTCTTTTAATAAGTAGTTTAAACATCATTTTTATGTCAGCTTGCAATCAGTCTCATTTGTATTTGTCTAAAATGCAACATTTATTTTGATTATGCTAGAAAATTTTATCATATTCGGTATGTTCTTAGGTATAAGAATTATATAAAAATGCTTATATAAAATATAATATGATCATAATGTACTCCAGGAAGAACAACGCAGAACTTTTCTTATTTTACAAAAATAAAGTTTCCCAATAAATGGTCACATTTAAGACGAAAAACAGTATGCAATTTAATTAGATAGAAATTTCTTTTTTTATATACTATAAAACTCCAAAATTCAATTTAACAGTTTAACCTCCTTGTTTACAGTAGGTATCAGAATGACAGTGTTGTAAGTTGAAACTAAAATGTGTGTATTTGTAGCATTAGTTTCGCTGGAGTATAAAATGGATTTAAATTTATTATTACCTTCCTTTCACTATAGCTAATTCACCATCCATCGATATTTCTGGTTGGATCCAGTTATATTCCTTAGCAACAACTGATAGTGCAATTAAGCTGAAAAGTAAATAATTTTTATTTTTTAAACATTTGTAATAACCCTATCATAGGGCCTCTACTAAGGATTTCAAATTATTAGCCAGTCAATTAGCCAAATATCAAAAGTATTCGCCAATTTTCGAAAGTCCTCACCAAATGCAAGTCTTAAAAATTATTTATGATTAATTTTTTCCCATAGAAAACTATTTCCTGGTAGTTTGTTTCAAGTTTATATTACTTGGATTCAATTCTAATTGCTCATGCGACTCATCTACCGAAAATTACTGTAATCAAATAAGAAATACTGATTTATTTAGAAAAATTTATTTTGATGTAATTTTGAGGATTGATATATATTTATAAATATATATTTTTCTTTCCAGGGAAAAAATCATTCACCAAAACACAATTTTATTTGCCAAATTTACGACTTTATCGCACTTGGCGGGGTGGCAAATGCTTAACGCGGGCCCAGCTAACATCATAGAACGTAATATTCAATTATTTGTGGGCCAATTATGAATTATAAATTGATATAAAATTTAAGCATACAATTAATTTTCATTTAAGATGAGACAGCACTAAAGCTTAATGAATAGCATAATTAAGATAACTAAATTTGATAGGATTGATTTATTTTCGGTCTGGCTGATTCATCCAGTAATGGCCAGTGATTTGTCATGGTTACTTACTAGGAATTGGCATTCTAGGAGTTACAAAAACAGAGGACAACACTTGTGATTGTGACAGCAGAATACACAGAAATATATTCATTTTTGTTTTAGAACAGTGGAAAAAATAAGTGTTGTTTTCGAGTACAGAAATATATATAAATCAGATATTGTTAAAGTAGGATAATTTACAACTCTTTTATTTAGATAATTTTAAGAAAAATTAATAACAGTGAACGTCTTTTATGAACAAAGATTACAATATAATATTTTAAACTTACATAAATATCAGTTATTACATAATAATAATAATAAATACAAAATGCTGATCAGTAGATGGCTTTTAAAACTAATTATAAAGATAAGTTTTCATTAAAATTCTAATTCATTTGATTTTGCTTACAAAAAAAATAAAAAGAAATAAATAAATAAAATAAAATAAAAAAGAGTTGATAGTAATTATAGTGCTTTAAGTTAGAAACTTAATTAAGTGGTATTTTGTACCGATTATTCATCATTATGTTTTATCAAATCAAAACAAATTTTGAAGCCAGCGAATAACGCTTCTAAGAGAATAAGGGAATCCTTTGAGTTAAAAATACTTCAAAATTTTTTTATTATTTTATAACCATTACTGAACAGCCGACCTTATATTTTGGGTTTACAACTACTAATGTTTAACTCCATAGCCTTGTAATTTTGAACCCAATCCAGAAGACAAGGGAACTCCCGGATCGAGCATTGGGAGAAATTTTGCCATTGTGGAGAACTTTTTGAACCATTTGTGTTACATGGAGAGGAAAACCATGAAAACCTCCAGCAGTTGGTCTGAAACAAGGTGACTCTAACCCATGTTCCGTCTAATACTGAGGATATTTGCGTCATCACTGTGGTCGTTGCAAACCAGATGCAGAATTCATATAAACTAGCCATCATTGGGATTCAAACACTCAGTGAACGCTCTATCCCCTGAGCCATCACTGCTCCTCAAAAATTTACTGTAGAAATTCCCCGACAATAATTTTTAACATAAGATGGAATAATTTTTAGAACTGCCATTAACTTTTAGAGAATTAACTGCACAGGTATTTATTGCTAAAAAAAACATCCTTGTTTTTTTTCTTGCCTATTTTTTATACAATACCATTGCTGGTTTCTATTCAATTAACCGAAAATACTATATTAAATCAGCAGAGAAGTATAAGGTAATTAACGAATGGAAACCAAAAATCCCACTGTTGTTCGTGAATGTTATGTCATTAACTGCCAAATGTATTTAACACAATATTTACTTTCTTTTCATAAAAACAAATTGCTTTCAATATTCTCCAAATTGTGCCACCTATTTGTTAAGAATTAAAAGCTCTCTGAAACATAAATGTTAAATTAGGATTTGATAAAATTATGTGAAAGTGTTTTCTGTAAATTAAACAATCTGAAAGATACTTATATATTTTACTATTGATAATCCCAAAAATTACCAATCTAATTTTGCTGAATATTCCATGACGTCAAATAAAACAGGCTTCATTTCTAAAATAACATTCTGTAATTTATGCATGATTTGAGTTTCCTTATCTGGAAGAGGACAGTTATGTATTTGGAAAGTAATATGGAATATTTTTAACAACAAAATTAAATCATTTAAATAAATTTGCTAGAATTTTTTTTAAGAATACATAGTTCAAAACTGATTAAGATATAATTTTGAAAAAAAAAGTTTATAAAGTTAAATAAAAATAAAGAAAAATATAATTAAAATAATACTTCAAAACATTAAATTAAAAATATCCTTTAAAATTGCAGTATTTTAGATTTCGTCAATAGACCTTATAAGAACAACATAAACTTTTTCTTTCAAGCTTATTATTAATTAATATCAATAGAATGTTGAAATTAAAAACAGATGTTTTGATTTTTTTAAAAGAATGGAAAGTGCATGAAATGTTTATCATTCAACTTAACTAAAGTTGAATGATATCCTTAAGCTTCATAACGATAATTTTTTAAAATTCTTTATTACATAGTAAGCTATATAAAAGCTGTGAAAAATATGGATGTTAGTTTCACAATAAATGTCAATTTAATTTTAAGAACAAAAAGTATTTGCACAATAATCATCCTAAAAATAAAAAAAATCAATTCAAAATTTCCAATAAAATAATTTTGTCAAATCTTAATAGCAAACATTTCTTTAAAATTTTAAAAGCGTCATTTCAATTACATCATTATTTTGATCATACATTTTCAATTGATCATTAATTTAGGTGAATAACTGTATGTGTGCAGTTGCCCTTTTCTCGTAGAACTGTGCCGAAAAAGGTTGTGCGCATAATAGAACAATTTAAACACTACTATTTAAATATAAAAAAGGTAAAATTACAATAATATCTTATTTATATAGTGCAAAATAAATGAGTGCAATTTTTCATTACACCAAACTACAAATATATCAAAAATTAATTATAATAAAAAAAAGTTAAAAATAATGAATTTTACAACTTATAAGCAATTACTATTCAAATCATTATTATGACATGAAACGTCTTACTGAAGAAAGCTCCTACCTTCTAGTAAAAAAATATATATATATATGAAAAGCTACATAACTTGTATATGAAAAATTTATTATAATTAATGTTTATTATGGACAGTAAAATACTAAAATGAAGATTAGAACAATATTTTTCTTGTAGAAATCTTTCAAATAAGGTTGTGCGATATTTAACAATTCAAATACTATTACTTCAGAATACAAAACAGTAAAATTACAATACCATTTTTTTATATAGTGCCAAATCAATGAGCGCAGTTATTCATTACACCAAACTACATATATGTCAATAATTTATTAAAATAAAAGATGCTTAAAAAAATGAATTTTACAACACTTAGAAACAATTACTATTTAAAAATTAAAAAGATGGCTCTGGCTGTTATGCATGTTTCACAGTGACAACTGGTTTCGGTGGTTTCAGAGAGGTTAGACATCTGTCAATAATATTCAGTTTATATCGCTTTGAGTTTCATACAAAAACCTTGTTTTTCACTTAGTCGAATATGTCAAATTTTGTGGTAATTGAGTAGCATTTGCGGGAGGTTTTATGTTTCTGCTTTAATTGCAAGAAAAATGCAGCTGAAATGCACCGAATTCTTGTAGAAGTATATGGTGACAATGCTCCAACTGATAAATCATGTAAGGAATGGTTTCGACGTTTCAAGAATGGTGGTGTATACTATGAGCTGCTACAACCTGGCGATTCCATTACAGGCGATTGGTATAGGCTACAATTGATTCGTTTGAGCCGTGCATTATGAGAAAAATGGCCGGAATATGAGCAAAGACATGACAAATTTATTCTTCAGCACGATGACGGTTGGCTTCATGACGCAAAAAATTATTTGGAAACGCTCAAGTGGGATATTTTACCACACCTACGTATTTACCGGACATTGCTCCTTCTGATTACTGGTTGTTCCGACATATGCAGCACGATTTGGCAGGTCACCGGTTTACTACTTTCTCAGAAATCAAAGATTAGCCCCTAACTTGGATCGCCTCAAAAGACGAGACATTTTTTCGAGATGGAATTCGAAAATTGCCTGAGAGGTGGGAAAAAGTAGTAGGCAGCGATGGACAATACTTAGAATAATCTTTTCATTCATTTTGTTCAAAAATAAATGTAGTTTTGACCACTCAAAAAACGGACCGAGCTAATTTGTTCTCCCAATATATATATATACATACACATATATAAATATGTGTGTGTGTGCAAAGATATGTATATATATGTAATGTACGTAATTACAATTTGAATAAAAAAAATATTACCATAAATATCACAAAGGGTATCACCAAGTAGAGAATCCAACTCTGTAGAAACAAACATACATAAAGTTAATAAAATATTTGAAAATTGAGTAATAAATTTACAAGTTAAATAATTTTAATATAAGATAAATTTTTCTTTAATCTGATTGGATTAGCATTTTATTAGTTTAACAGCAATTCAGAACAATGAGTTTTCCAATTTGGAACAATGATTTTACTCTTTATGGAATTTTAATTAAACAAGAAGTATATTTGTTATTTAATTAATCTAAGAATACAGTATTCAACATTGTCCTTTCTTTTTATAAAATTCTGAACAAGAAAAATTTAAAACCTCTTATAAATTATGATATTAAGAAACTTAGCTAGATTCTAGGGAAAAAGTTCTGAATTAATATCCTCAGCTCCTTATATTATTAAATCAAATGTTTCTTACCTCAAAACATTTGGAGTTGTCAATGGTGCTAAAAGCAGGCATTTTCGAATCATATAAATATCTTTTTCATATTTTTACCTGACAAAAATATTAACCTACAGTTAACTTTTATTTTGTTGAAAATAATATTCTGACAAAAAACTGATAGAAAAATAATGCTTATCTTTTTGTTTCCTACTTAACTAATAACGTTTCCTTCTTTATTTATTTAAAGTTTACTTTAATTTTAAAATATATCATAAGCAATTTGCTTGCAAAACTAACTAACAGCAACAAATTTATTTTTAAAATAATTGATAAAGTCTTACTTTTGGTATTATCACTCTTGTAATGTGCCACATCGTTTGTGATAAACTAAAGGAAAAAAAAAACAAAAAAAACACAGCATTATATAAAAGTGTAAGTTTATGTTTTAAAATTACATTTGTCTACTCAAAAAGCAGCCTCAGTGAGAATTCAAAAAATAATTTTTTTAAATACAATTCTGTATTCATTTGTTGTCATGATAATCACCACAATTACAAAGGAATGAAGTTTCACATGGATAATAGGTTGTACAAAAAATATTTCAGAGTAGAAAGAGTTGTTGTGCATCATTACTGTAACAAATCCCAGAATGAAATTGTTGAAATTATCAGGACCAAGGTAGAAATTAAAGTTGAAACGAAATTAAAAAAACAATCAAACATTCATAGTCAAAAAATTATTATGAAATGTTATGATAAAATATTATCCTTGTGCAAAAATGTCTGCCGAAGGTGACTTTTTTACTCCAAACTAAACAGAGCTCAGAAAACTGCTTTTAGATTAGATGCCTTAAAAATTTCTATAATTTTCCCATGAAAACAGCCTAATACACTAAAATATTTTAAAATCCTTATGACCTGGCTTGTATGAATATTTCATTCATTTTTTTTTTCTTTTAAAAAAAATGCTCTCCACTGAAAATTTTGAAAATGTGGCTTATCAATATTATGCTTCCAGTTCTTTCAAATATTCAGTTAAATAGAAAACGAAACAAAGTTGTTTAAAAATAAAAGTCACCCACCATAAATCTCAAGTTTGGAATTGAGTAGTCTTTAGTATCTTTCATCTGCTCAGTCGCAGGAATGGCCAACAAATAACCAAGCTAAATATAAAATTACAGATTATAAATAAAGGCTTGTAATGTTAAAATAAACTTCAAATTGTTTTAAAAAAAAGGGAATTTTACTTGAGGCAAATATATGACACTGCACTGCGGAATATCACTACTTAATTCCTGGAGTTCTTGATATGCCACTTCAGTCATGAAATTGGGAAGTCCATTGTAGGTGCGTTTCACTTTACAGCATCAAGAAGAATACAAATTAAATATTTTCTTTGCAAAGACAGATGGAAAAATTATAAGATAACAATTATTCAAATTTTATAAATCATTAGGAATTTCTTCTTTATTAACAACATGTAGAAATTTAAAACTGACAATTCCAAATTTGACATGACTTTACAGAGTTACCACTCAATTTCATCAACAAAAAAAAAAAAAAAAAAAAAAAAAAAAAAAAAAAAAAAAAAAAAAAANTAGGTATATCAGCTAAATTTCAATGAAAATTAAGACCCTATTTTATCAACAATGCAATTTGTATCAGAAAACTTACATTTTTAAAAAAAATTTGTAATGCCAAATATTAGATTTTGTGAGCAAGGAAATAATATTGAATGACGATGGAAACCTGGCAGTTTCACTAAAATGTGAAATTTTTACTACAAAAAATTGTAATGGATGTTAAAATTACTAACATCTATTACAAATGTCAGGGAATTTTCCAGGATAAAATTCCGTGACAATTCCAGGTGTTCCCTATTCTCTCTGACTTGTGGGAGCCTTGTTTTATCTCATTTCTATTTCGAAATCTTAATAAATGAGTAAAACATAAAATGAGCCTGTTACACAGAATTATATCATTCCTATAAAATAAACACTTGTGCCACTATTTTTTTTTTCTTAGAAAAAAGTAATGGCGTAAGTTAGTAGTAGTACCTTTTTCTTAAATATTTTTTACCAGCCACCAATGGATTAAACTCATACGATAATTGCAAATATACCAACTATATACTCAATTAAAATATTAGATAAAAATGTATTCAATTTTTTTTCCCCATTGAAATATTTTCAGAGTGGTCACACAAACATTTAGGAAAAAAATTCCCTTACTTTTCTCAGATTCCTCCAGACTAATGGCATCGATTTTCCCTGTGCTATAAGACGAGCTGTACCCTGTACGAATTAGTACTATAAATTTTACTATTGATTTTTTAGTTATACTTTGTTCTTATACATAAAATAAATTGCGAAGCACTTATTAGAATTGTATTAATTTTGAGAAATTGTTTCCAGACCATTTTTTTATGAAAAACTTCACTTCAAACTTAAATGAATTAACTTTCCTTTGACTTTTTTTTTGGTTAAATTCCCAAACATTTCCCTCATTTTTATCAGATTGATAAAATTCCCAAACTTTTCCCTGTTCTGCAGCCAAGCTGATTTTACACTTTCAAAGCTCAGAAGTAAGTATTAAACAAAACAAAAATCACCAAATTTAAACCACAAGGAAATTATAATTTTTTTCCCACATACATATATAACAGATAAGCCATGCTTAAAATTTTCCTTCCTTTCTAGCAAATTTCATTACAAAAATACGACACACATGCAATTAACTAATATTAATTCAAACAATTTTGAATAAAGCTGATATTTTACAGATACAGGGAGATAAAAAAAAAAATTAAATTTGTAAAAACATTGCTTTTAAAGGTAAAATTTATATGATTTGTGGAAAAACTATAAAATTAGGTTTGATAATATACATACTTTTGTCAAGTTCACTATCAACTCCAGGCTTAACAACAAAGTGATTTTGTTTGGCATACTCTTCAAAATCAATCTTCAAAATAAAAAAAAAGTACTATTAGCTATTTTCTGATTGTTTGATTTACATGTTCTCTCATTGCTTTTACTTATTACCTCATTGCTTCATTTACTTATCCCACATTGCTTTAATTTCATAATTTGAAATATAATAATATTTTTGTAATTGAAATGCTATGTAATGATACTGAAAACAGCATAATGTACATAACATCATAACGTAATATTAAAGAAGTGTATTACAAAATAAGTTACATAACACTTACAATTTTATTCAGCAAACTAGCGATGCGGAATAAATCAGTAGAGAAAGTATTAGATATCTGAAAGTAAAACATAATTGTGTTAGTTATTCTCATCACACTGCTGAAAACTTAAAAGTAAATATATTTCATTACCTCTGAGAAAATTTCTAAGCAATGCGTGCGGGACCGTGCTATATCACAAATGAGCATGGCGTGATAAGAAGTCTAGGAATGAATAAAAAAAATTTCATACGAGTTGTACAAGATAAATTTATAATATTTAAATTGCATGTAAAACCTAGTTAGGCTAATTAACCTAATTGTTGTTTACACACTTTCTTTTAATAAAGAGTATGGATAAAAAACTAATTTCAAGCTTTCCTTAAATATTAAGCTAAATACTTTTCTCTTTGCGTCTATTCATAAGGAAAAAAAAGTATTGTTAAATATTATCATTTTCAGATATTTAAGCTCATTTGTGGCAGTTCTCATTTAAAAAAAAAAAATGTTGCAATGTAAATAAATTTCAACATAATATAAAATACAATATACATATGAACACAAATTTTGATATAAAAAAAAGATTCAATGTAAACACTACTTTTCAGTAAATTGTTAAAACAACAAATATTGGTAAACTAAAATTAGAAAACATGTACAAATACAGTTCTAAGCCAATTCGTACCTTATACAAAGCTTGCCAGTCGGTCATTGCTGCTTGAGCAGTTTTCATTCTTGTCAAAATTCTCTAAAGAATAACACATTATATGCTCAGAATTCACTATATATAGATTTGATATTTATAAGAATGCAAAGTTAAATTTTTTGGTTCAATACTTCATTATCTTTATTTTTATATTTAGTTTTTAGTATTTCAAAGTTTTTTATAAGAAAGATTTAGAATATAATTGATAGCCACATTTATTAATTTATTAAACTATTTAAATGATACATAATTTTCAAAAATTCCATACATTTTAAAAGTGAATTATTCTGGAATGATTTTATTCTCAGAATCAATTGTCTAAAAGTTAAGGTAGTTTCTGATTTAAAAAAAGAATTATTGCTTTTAAAAAGTTGCTTGTCAATTTTTTTTACAAGAAAAATTAATAACGAAAGCTTTTCAAGATTCTAAAAGACAGTAAGTAAACATTAAGAATCAAAATTGAAAAATAAGCTCTTTTATTGACCTTAAAAACAGTTTTATGAGTTTAAAAAGTTTGAAGGACTTGTTGAAGATACAGTTGTCTGCAGAGTTCTTAAGAGCTGCAAAAAAAAATTTCTTTTGTAAGGAGGAAGACAACTTGGTTGACAATTCCCCACACTCTTACTTTATAAATATGATGGGTTGATATTATAAAGTAAGGTTGAAAGACAAGGAATTTAGTTTAAATGAATTATAAATAAGAAGCGAGAAGATATTTAAAAAAAGTATTTTAATAAACAATAATAAACGACAAATATTTTAAAGCATAGCCTTCTATTTTTGTATCAAATCTGCTGCCACCTTTTTTTTATATAAATGTTAAACTTTTCATTTGCTGTGATAAAATTAAACTTATGCAAACCTTACAATATTGTAAGGAAAGTTGATAAAATGTTTTTCTCCATTTTTTACTGGTATCGGTAAAAAATAAAATTTATAATAAATGCTTAATAAAAAGTGGAAAAATGAATAACCTTAAAAAAATTGTCAAAATAACTAAAGGCTAGAATTTTTTACTTGTTTTAAACATAAAATTTTTGTATGTTTAACATTAACATTTTGGCAGTTACTTAGAAACGTGCCATAATAGTCGACTTCTCGCAGAATGTGGTATTCAGTACATCAAACTTTTACTATATATATACATATATATAAACAGTGGATCTTTATAACGCAAACCTTGAAACCTGAGGATTTGCGTTTTGTGGAATTCATATTACAGTAGGGAACCGATTATCCGGAACGATCGGGACCATCGCTTTTCCGGACAACTGATTTTTCCGGTTTTCTGAATCGCTACAAAACTCGTTTTTTTTATTGTTAAACCCAACTTAAAAAAAAAAAAAAAATGGAAATAATCTTAAAAAGAAGAAAAAACGATGAGGTAATACACTAATGATTATTTCCAAAATGATGGTAAGGTAAACATCTTTCAAAAAAGAACGAAAAATCCTAAAATCTTATGAGGAAAAAAAAAAAACTTTTTTTTTTTTAAATAGCGGCAAAATTTATCGAATTTCATTCCGGTTTTTTGGTATAAAAATCATTTCGCTTATCTTTAATCTTACCTACCGAATATGCTAATATTAGTTTGTGACAGATCTTAAAAGATTTAAATTAATTTTTAGTTACAAACATTTAAAAACACAAATATGCACTTAAATACTTACTATTTACAGAAAAAAAAAATTTAAATTTTAAGCTCTTAGCAAATAATTAAACAAATGTAAAAAGTTGATAGTTCTTACTTAGTAATAGAAATTTATTAACAGCAAATTTCATTGCTAACATTCACAAAGTTAATGCAGTTTATGGAGAATTGCAGTTTATAGATCGTCTAATGTATATTTATATACATATATATCTAATGTTGTTTGTTTACATCACACTAGTGCACAATGGGCTATCGGCAATGGTTTGGGGATGATCCAAAGGAATGGCATGAAATTTTGATCCTCTGCTTCCGTAGCCGAACGACCTGCATCCGAAGTCGAGTACATCAAGGTAGAATAGTCTGACGAGGACCAATACTGCACACCCTCTGTGCTTTCGTAGGCTGATCAAAGAGGTCTCCCACCCGCACACTGACAGCAGCCAGTGATCTTTGACTTCGGTGCTCTACTGGGAAGAGTGTCTTAACGATCAGTCCACTGTGGGATCACACACACACACACACACACATATATATATATATATATATATGTATATATGTGTGTGTGGTGTGTGTGTGTGTTTCTTAAATATATTCAGATTCGCGAACACGGATAATAAAGAATAACGGAAATTCGTTTAATTTCGAAAGGAGGTGCTTTATTTTATTGTTTGAAAATACCTTAAACTTAAATGGAAGTGTTTTGAGAAATAATTGAATTTTATAAGTCTATTATGAATATTAAAAGGAAAATTACTCTTAGTTGAAATACGTAGTGGGTATTAAGGAATTTATGGAGGTTTAATGAAATTCGTTTAACTTCGAAATAGGTGCTTTATTTTATTGTGAAGAATTTAAGCTAAAATGAGAGTGTTTTGAAGAATAATAGAGTTTAGTAAGTCAATTAATATTTAATGTACTGAATATTTAAAGTAAAATTAGTCTTGGTTCAAATATGTTCTGCTGGAAGATTCATTTTTGACTTTATAAGAACTTGAGGGAATATTCTGTTTCCTAATTTTGTCTTGTCACACTCTAAATTTCTTATTAAATTTTTGAAAGTTATGAAAGATTTGATAGTTCATTATTAATATTTTTCTTTTTGTGCTTTTATTTTGATTAAACTTAAATCGTAGCGAACGATCATTTGTACATTTTGAAGGCGATTTTGACAGTTTAGTTCAAAGCAAAATAAGTTTATTTCTTGAAATTATTTTACTTAACTACTCTAAGCACTTGATTATTGATCTAAATTTAATTATTATACTAAATTAAAAAATTAAATGGTTGCCAAAGTTTTAAATTATTTTTTCCTTCCTTTTTTTGAAAAACTGAATTTAAAATTTAAAGGGAATTAGGTTCTGAATTCGTTTAAAAAAAGTTTAAATAGGAACTGAAATAAAAAAAAACTCTTTCAAAATTTTTATTTATTTTTATTTTTTCCTTTTATTATAGTGCACGCTAAATGTTAAAAGTTTTATGAAATTTGAAAATTTTGAAATCTAAATTTTAAAATTTCTTATTTAACATTTGGCTATTAAACTTAAAATAAAAAAATCCTTAGCTAAAATTTGCGTAATAGCAAAATACAGCGATCGCAAATTGAATCAGTATTTTCTTGGTAGAGGCGAATAATTGATTACTAAAACATTGGTTCAATGGCGAACTTAAAAACTGAACAAAAGCAATTCATTCATTCGTTAATTTACATATCATATATATTCGCACACACCATTAGAAAGCTGCTGTTTTCTCTCGTTTGCATTTATATAACATTCATATGTGTTTTAGATTATTCTGGTTTGAGTACACCATCTTTTTCNTAAAGGAGGACATACTTCATATTAATACAGACATGTATCAATGTAACTTAAGGTATGTAATGATTAAAAACTAAAGTTTCAATAAATCACTTTTTTTTCCATCTGTCCCAATTAATTCGAACAGTATAATATATATATATATAATGAAAAATACACAATAAAGAGAAAAAAAGGTACATACAGGCAAGAACTTTATGTGCTTTAGGCTTCCTTGTAAAGCACTTAAAACATCTGAATTTTTTGACAAGATGAAATACTTTATTGCAGATTGTCTCTCTTTAATTATTTCTGGATTATTTGTAGGCATAAGGAACCATCGTCTACATTTAAAAAAAAAGTACATATTAAAGAACTAATAAAATATTTATTTATAAAAACGTCAAAATATTTGTAAGCAGTTTAAGTATTCTCACTTAAGTTCTTTTTTCCCTATAGCAGATTTACAACGATTACATATCCCTGAAAGAAGAAAAGATAATTTGCCTACATTGAGTATTATATTTTTCATAATAATTTTGTTTGAAGTAATTTTTGTATAAACTAAATGAAATAAAAAATGATACATTTACTGGCAACAAATTTAAAAAAAAAAATATTTTTAAACATCTAATACCAAATCATAAAACTATGTGCCTAATCTAGATTAGATAATGATTAAAAATTTAAAAGCCAATGCGAAATTGAATAGAAAATTGGTGTTTACTTCCAAATAAACCACAGAAATTGCAGGCTTACACTAGAAGATGGATTTCAAAAGAAGTATTCAGTAACATCTCAGCAAATTTTAAGTTTCTTGGTGAAAACCTTTCCACAGTATGTCAACTATTTTAATCTTCATAATGTTTTACATACGGAACATTTATAAACCCTTAATGTTAAATTTTGAAGAAAACAGTTATAAAACTTAATTTTTTCATTCTAGAAAATTATATAAAACTAAGTGCAAGTACAATAAATGTATTCCTTTTTAGTTGTTGGGTTAGTCACAAAAATACAGGTTTGATGAGTGCAGACATCTATTTTAAAATAAACTATGCTTCTAGACATATTACAAATAGCCTGGTATTGCCATCTACCTGGTGTACAGAATAAGATATGAACATGATTTTGGGAGTATGAAAAAAATTGTTTAATCATTTTGGCACATTACTTTTGAAAAATTTAGCTTGGAAATATCATGAGCAATATAAAGAGAGCGAAAATTCACCAATGGTCAAAATAAGCAATGGTTATTTTGACCATTTGGGGTGAGAAGGATAGAGTTAATAAACAATGTAAGAAAATTCTTAATGCATGTCTAATTGTTTAGAGACATTAATAAATCAAATTTCTGTGTGAGAGACATGTTAAAAGAAAAACATGTTAAGAGGCATTAATAAATCAAATTTCTGTGTTTAAAAACATGTTATGGTAAGCTGTTAGATATAGAGCATTAATTTATTCTGCAAAGTTTTCAGATAAAATAAATTCTGAAATATTGATTTTTTACAAATTTAGAGAAATGTATGTTTTCTGCTATGATTTACTATATATAATGAAAATATAACTGTGCATGTATAAGTTGACCTTCCTTCACTAATCTTAACTGGGTTGAAGACACGAGGTAGTCTGGGTTTGAATCCCAACCGCGGCCGATCGACATGAATTCTGCATCTGTCTCACACCGACCAGTGCTGACAAAAAATATCCTCAGTGGTAGACGGATCACGGGTTGAAGTCCTTTTGCCATCAGGCTGACCGTGTGATGTTTTGCTCTCCATGTAACACAAATAAGGGTCATCAAAGTGTCCTCAACGAAGGCAAATTTCTCCCAATGTTTGATCCACCAGTTACCTCGTCTTCTCCATCGAGTTCTATATCATGGAGTCGAACATCGGTAGTCGTAAACTCAAAATTGGGTCAGTTGTTCAACGAAGGTTATAAAATAAAACCCTGCATGTAGCTTATTATTTTTTTAAATATAAAATCCTTAGTTAATCATAACTATAGAGACTTCTACAAACCGTATAAACTGAGACCTTCCTTATTTCCAACAGTGCTCTTATATACAGAGGGATGTCTTTCTTCTTGAAAAATCTGTAGTGCTCTATAAAAATATACAACAATAAGAACACAATAAAATACAGTACAGAACCTGTTATCCGGAAATCAGAAAACCGGAAAACCAAAAAACCGGAACGAAATTCGATACATTTTCCCGCCATTTTTTAAAAAAAAATTATTTTTTCCTCATAAGATTTTAGGATTTTTTTTTTTTTTTTTTTAAAGATGTTTACCATACCATCATTTTAGAAATAATCATTACTGTATTACTTCGTTTTTTCTTCTTTTTAAGATTATTTCCAAACATTATTTTTTTTTTAGTTGGGTTTAACAATAAAAAAAACTGCTTTTTGTAGCGATTCACAAAATTGGAAAAGTCAGTTATCCGGAATAGCGATGGTCCCGATTGTTCCGGATAATCGGTTCCCTACTGTACAATACAATAATTTAAAAGAGGAATTGAAGGGTAACCGAAAATGAAAAGTATTTATATTTTGGGAACTTTTGGTTGCATCTGTAATATCTTGTACTTATTCAACCTTTTTGTCGTAGCTCAGAGCAAGTTCTTACAAATAAGTTAGTTTGAAATAAAAATGAAACAGCTATACAGTATATTAAAAAGAACTGGCCTTTCAATGAAAATTAATTTTCATAAAATGAAATAGAACACTAGATTTGTTACATTTTATGGATTTCCACCTCCTCTAGAAGTTGGAAAATATCTTCTAAATAATATGGCCCTCTAGAAGATATTTTTAACAGGGTTGCCACTTATATGGAGGGAAAAAAATTCCCTTTGTTTTTTCTGTACATATTTTACACACTATTTTAAGAGGAAACAAGCATTCACAGTGCTCTTGTGAGCTACATTAGGGTAACAATGCTGTTATTTCAGATGATTTTTAAGTTCCCTGTATTTTGGAGGTTTTTTCCAATTCTCCTTGTGAAGTGGCAACCTGTTTAAGTAAATATATATATATATATATATATATATATATATATATATATATATNATTAAAGTTTTCCATAAATGTCGAAATTGGGAGCAACTTTCTTTTTGCAGGTAACATTTCAATTAATTAATAATTTATTTAATTATAAGTATTTATTATGTATAATAAATATTTATTAATTATAATAAATATAATTAATAAACAATAATTTCTTGAGAATATTTATTTTTCAGAAAAATTTATCACACTGTTGATAAAAAGTAATTCTGCTAATATAATTTAATGGCATCGTGTTGAAAGTAACAATAATTTTATGCGGAGATAAAAAAAAAGAAAATAAGTCACCTGTAAGAATTGTCATCGATGTTAAGTATGTTTTTCCTGAAAGAGAAAAATAACATACAGATTAAGTGTTTAAAGGTCTACACAAGAAGCCATAAAATGTTTTTTTTTAATATAAAAATTTAAAACATTTGAGCAGTGGTCGGAAAAACCATATTATTTTTGTAGTTTACTACAGCTACTATGTTACAAATGTAGTGACTACTTCACTACTTTCAGGAACTGAACTTCACTGCAGAAATTAATACACATTATGCTCAAAATGGTTTTGAATAAAAAAAATTGCTTATATTAAGATGAAGAATTATTTAGAAATATTTATTCATATTTACATGAGTCAGTTTGTTATTCTGAAATTTTTGTTCATTTGATCTTCAACTTTTATGCCCTTATTGACAGCGAATATTCTATTTAAGAAATGGTAGGAAATTAACAAATATTTGCAATTTTGTTAAGTGTTTAATGCTTCTGTATTTCCTCTAAGAAATTAAGTACATCGAAAGTATGTTTCCTTCTTTTAAAATAACATCAATGTTTCACGCTTGTACATTCATATGTGACCTTGATGATAAATTATCTAATATTCATAAGCACAACTTTCGGTTAAATCATTTGAATAGCAAACAATTAGTAGAGCAACTAAATTAGTAAAAGAATTTTTTTTAAATACATGGAATTCGATGTAAAAACTATTTTTTGTTATTATTCTTAAAATTCCAAACATAATTCAAAGCGAAAAATTTATAGTCCATGCACATGACATCTATAAAATATTTGGCGACTATTGTTGCCATAGTGACGTAAGTGCAAGTGATTATTAATTACAGATGATTTCCAACCTGTTTTTGGTGCTTGACAATTTAAAAATCAGTTTTTGATTTTAAAAAAAACCTAGTTAAAATTCACAGTACTGATTTCAAGCTGAGTAAAAGACCAGATTCATAGTCAGTGAATTAAATTAATTTTAACTTATCTTTATTAGCAGGTGATTACTTAAGTGAATGTCGAACTACATAAAAATATTTATAGACTATAAAAAATATTCTTACAATGACAATGCGGAAATTCCAGAAACGCTTGAGCTTGAGTTTTCAAGAGACAGACCAAAAGTGTTTTTATCTAAAAATTTTAGCAATCCACCAGCTGCCTTTACCTATAAAATTAAGTTTGAAATAATGCTTAACACAAACTAAACAGAATTTAATGTATGCAGTTGTGTAACTTTTATTGAATAAAAAATGAAAGAAAGCTGTACACCAGCAATATATTAATAATTTTAATTAAGTGAATATTTGCATTGTAATCTAAAATTTTTGACAAATGCTTATTTTAATAATAATAAATTAAGCTAAGCATTTTAATAAAAGCAAATTTTTTTATATTTAGGTTTTAAAAGTTCTCAAAATATGATGAAATACATAAAAAGTAAAATTAAGATTAAGGGGTCCACATTTGTGACTGCTCTCCTGTCAAAACTACTAGGACCACATTTCACAGATTGCAGGTACCCCCTAAGTCTTGAGGGTCAAAAATTCGAATCCCTTGAAAAAAAGGTATGTATATTCAGAGAAAGTACAATTTAGTGTCTCATTTCATGACTTTAAATGACTGCATTAATTAATGTCGCCCTTCGAACCATTAGGATTAGGTACTAGAACGTGAAGATCGTTCATTAGATCAGAAGTTATTCAGGGTGATCCGTCTTTTATTTCACCCACTGTACACTCGATGTAATTTATTTTATATTATAGGGCAAAATGAATGGACACCATTGTGTACAGGGCGACTAAATATAATAAGTAGCAACAAATTGTCACTTTTTTCATCGAAAATACACCCGGTGAACACATTATTTCCTTTAATAAATATGGAATTATTCCATGAAATTCTGTAAATTACTTATTCACACCTGTTTCTTACACTTTTTTTTAATTTTAAAAATAAACCTTGCTTTTTTTTAAACCATATTTTGACAAGTGCTTCAAAAGAAATATTGCATATTAAGTTTTTTTAATGGTTCACCATTTTGAATTTTTGAAAAAGTGACAGCATGCTTTATGAAATGGTCACTGTTAAAAATGTTATAAATGGCCAATAGCAAATTTTCTAATTTTGCCCAATATTTCATATTAAACAAATATATTTAAAAACAAACTTAAAAAAAAATTATTATTTTTTTTTTTGTTGAAGATTTTGTCTGTGTTTTCTAGACATTCCTGTCACTGTAAAAAATAATTCGCATGAAAATTTAAGAATATTCTGTATTTTCTAAGCTTTAAAAATGTAAGGTAATAAAATTTTTCAAACTAANCCCTTCCCGTAAACGGACAACTCTCATAAACGGACAAATTTTTTGGACCCATGAATGTCCGCTTAACGGAGGTTTCACTGTATATTTAAAAACAAACTTTAAAAAAAAATTTTTTTTTTTGGAGATTTTGTCTGTGTTTTCTAGACATTCCTATCACTGTAAAAAATAATTAGCATGAAAATTTAAGAATATTCTGTATTTTCTAAGCTTTAAAAATGTAAGGTAATAAAATTTTTCAAACTAATTCATACCATACAAGAACTCGTAAAATCTATCAAGGATGAAAGATGAATTTTTCTTTCAAAATCATTCATGTTTTTTGGAGCATTCAGAAGTTGTAAAGTTTGTAATCTATGTTTGGAGGCTTCAAGAGCTTTACGTATCATTATGGAAAAGAAGATATAAGGTTAGGTTTGTTAAAATATTTCACAAAAATTATACAAGATCAATATAGTTTACTACAAAATTATAACTTCATTGCAGTTTTTTGAATTTAATATTTTAATATCATTACATTTTAAGAGTTATGCAATTTGAAAGAAACCTTTTGAATTGAAGGCAAAAATTAGAGAAATTTTTTAATTTAAAACAATATATAAAGCTAAATGAATTTTAAACAATATATAAAGCTCTATAAATAGATAAATCTATAAAATAAAGTAAAAAACACATTAAATGCACACCATTATAGCCTCACTGATAGTTTTCGTTTATAATAAATTAATAAAAGTTTAATAAACCTTATAATTTTTAAAATTAATTAATCTGGAGGTGTAAAATCTATCAAGGGTGAAAAACAAATCTTTCTTACATTAAATAACATACATGCTACTAAAAAGAGTACATTTTCCAATTTTGAATAATAATAATTCAGTAATAATTTTTAAAAAAAAGCATGATGAATATGGCATGAACTAAAATTTTCCAAGTGGTAAAGTTTTTGCAGTTCAAGCTGCATCAAATTCTTTGATATAAAAAAAGTTGTGACTCAAATATAAATGAGTGTGGGTGAAATTTGTAATATAATGAAATTAAACAGAGATCGAAACCTTCTATGAACATAAATATACATGAAAAAAAATTTTTTTTCCTGAGATATTAAAAAAAAAAAAAAATGCTAGGGGGGGAGCAGTAATCAGACTTTACAGCAATAATTTCATCAAAATGTAATTAATTTTATAGTAGATTTTCGATTTGAATTGCAAGAAATCTATTTAGAAAGATTAAATGAAGTGAAATTCTGATGATTCTCATGCTCATGCAAGAATCATAAGAGAAATATAAACAAACATATTTTAAACAAAAATAAAGAAGTTTAATTATTTGGGGTGCTGTTAAGATCAGGGATGAGATTAGCCAAAAGGTAAAAAAGCTGAATTTCCACAATAGTAAATTTTATGCAAGCGCAACCCTTTAATAATAAATTACTGACAGTTTAAGGTAATAAATAATGTGTTGACATACAATTGTATACTAATCTATTATTATATAAATGATTACATTGCTACTTAACATTTGGTGAAAATAAAAATTACCAATTGAAAAAATAAAGCTGGAAATTACATTTTTCCTCAGTTCACATAAGAGACAATTATTACTTGAAAAACTACCTGGTTTAGCAAATTAAAACTACTGAGAATATACATTAATATTTCATTTCTTTTAATAAATACTGTTATGTGATTTATAGCAAATATATCAGTAATATTACTTTTTAAATTATATTGAAGAAAAAAAAACTTTAACAATGGACCGAATCATTATGTTCATATTATAGTCTAATCTAACTAGAGCCCTCTGAAACATATCAATAACAGTGAAGTAGAAATAAATATATAGTAAACCCTTAACATTGTTTTTCATTTGATAAGAATTTTGCATTTTATAGCATAAATAACAGCAATTATAAATAAAATTTTGATGATGAGTTAATTAACTCTTTTTACCAAAAAAAAAAAAATTAAATTAAATCCCTTTTTAAGTGATTGCTTTTGTTTGCTATATCTTTTATGCCTGCTATATTTATTCGTTAGTCCATCTTCAAACATCTTGTGAGAAATCCTATTTTTTCTTCTTTGCAAGCACAGAATGTAAGTTTTGAATATATTCCCTTCCAGTTTATCTAATGTTGTAACACTTACGTATACTAATAATCGTCGTTAGAAAAACAGTCACCTTAATAGTAACTAATTAAAAAAAAACATTTACTTCTTACAAGAATCGCGATAGTTGATCTTAAAATTGCGTGAATATGAATAACAGTTATGGATTTTGAAATCACATGTATATGAAACTAGATATACGATTTTGTAAACGAGAAAATACAAACTGGGATATAGAATTTTTAAAACGCGTAAATACAAATCACGATTCATAATTTTTAGATCGCATAAATACGAATCATGATGCGTAATTTTTAGAATGCGCGAATGCGAATCCCAATGCCTTATTTTAAAATCACGTATAAATACGAAAATCAATGCTTGATATTATAAACCGCATGAGCAAATCAAGACATTGAATTTTAAACTTGCGTGAATACGAATCACTACATAGGTTTTTAAAAAGGCGTAAATACGAATCACAATATGGGATTTTTAAATCTCATAAATAAGAATCGCAAGGCACAATATTCAAATCGCGGGAATAAGAATCGCAACACGCAAATATGAAAAGCTATGTTTGATATTAAAATCGAGTGAATAAGAATCGAGATATTAGCAGATTCCAGGCTTGGGACCTCTAAGAGGCTTGTCAGAAGCAGCGTCGTTTGAACTAGGAAAATCAGATCTATCTAGAGGGCGAGTAAAAAAATTCGGAAAATCTTATCTGTTGCATGTAAAAGGGGAGAAAATAGCTAAAATAAGTAAAAATGAGAAAGGATTGGTAGCTATGTAGTTTAAATTTTCTGTTTCTCTTTGAAAATCGGTGAATTTTATGAAAAAACCGAATACTTATACAAATAAGTGAAATTTTTAGAAAATCTGAATTTTTGATAAAAAAGCTGAAATTTAAGAGTTAAAAATGAAAAAAGCGGAAATCCGCTAAGAAGCGGAAGAATCTCATTCCTGTAAGATTCAAGCAGAACTTAGTAATTTATTTGGAAAAGAGATATTTTGAATATGACCTCCTAGGACACTTCGAACACATTTAAGATTTTAATTCATGGTAGAGAAAGGTAAGAAATAAATTTTAAAAAATGAAATTTTTCTAATTCAAAATAAATTTTTTTTCTTTTTTTGCGTCAGTTACAAAAGCTTAACACTTAAAATATCTCGGATTCACTTCACTCTTAATTCAGATATTACATAAAAGTAGGGGGAATCATCATTATATAAAATTCTCAGCTTTTCTTATTGGTAAAAATTTACATTGAACTTAAAAGTTTATCTTGAATTTTAATTTGTAAAATTGAAGACCCCAGCATTTAAAATTGAAATCAATCATCTGTAGCTTTTAATTATTAAAATAACTAAGTAATTACTATCCAAATAAAGAGTGCAGTAACTAACAAAATAAAATTTGTAGTAACTAAGTAAATAATAAAATTGTGTTTAACTACCATTCCTGTTTTAAAATATTTAATTGCATAGATGATATTCAAAGTGTTAAAATTTAAACACTAAACTTTTTTTTATTTTTAAATCTAACGTGTTTTGAATGGGAACATTTATCAGAAGCGATAAAAAGGTAGCTACACGTAATTCCTCAAAATTACTTCATAAATATAATACATACTTTTTGTAAACATTCTGTTTGAATGCTTAAAATTAAAATGTAACTAAATTTTGATGATTAAGTGAATAATACTTGAAAACAGACAATGTGTCTTTTCAAAATTATCTGAAAGTTCTAAGAAGAAAATCTCTTATAGGTAGACAGCGGATAATATGCAATTGCATACGTGCATATTTTAGTACTTTTTGCCATTTGTGCATATAAATGCATAAAAAGGTATATTTGCTCTTATAAATGCATATTTTCAGCATTTTATGGCTTTTCCCTACTAAAACCATATCACTATTCTTATTATGTTAGCATAAGGAACGCTTTAAATTTTGTTTTGTCATTCTTTATCACCTGAAAGGGTCAGCTGGATTGATGTTGCTGGGGGTGATTGCAATCACCTGAAAAAGATGTAGAAATGAGGTGTGTGTCGGGAAGGGGGTACAAAGGGCCCACCCAAACAGACATTCGTCATAGAAACCTCAGAAAGGGATGGTCAGATATTCTATGAAGGGATGTCTTTTCCTGGAATAAATAATTGTCAATCTGTGTGGGAAAAATAAGGCTTCTGTGGTAGGTAGAAAATGACCTCCCTTTCCTGTGATTGATTAGTTAAAAGGTGGAGTGAATACATTTTCGGAGAGAGCTGCTATTCTAACATATTTCGATAGTCCATCCGATAGATAGATAGTTTCGACATCCATCAGTTGAATACGTAGTTAGTGAAGCTTCGAACGTGATTTTTGACTGCTGAATTTTATAATATGCCAAAAATTAAGTCGACTAAATCAAATTTAATGAAGACATGGATTTCGGACTATGGGAAGGACTTTACGACCGATGGGGAAATAGTATTTTGTGTGATTTGTCAAAAACACATTTCCTGTGAAAAAAAGTACCAAATCGATCAACATATAAAGACTAATGCTCACTCCGCGAAGAAAAAGCAGAATACAAAAGGATTTGTTCAAAGTTTATTAACTATTCCTGTTCAAGCAGCTAAAAAGGAAAGTGATTTTTCTAGTGATTTATGCAAAGCCTTAGTAAGCAGCAATATTCCTTTAAAAAAGTTAAATAATCCAAACTTAAGACAGTTTTTAAAAAAATATTGTACCAATCAGATCATTCCCGATGAATCGACTTTAAGAAAGAACTACCTTCAACCGATATATAACGAAGTACTGGATGATATTCGACGAGATATTGGAGATGGCCCTATATGGATTGAAGTCGATGAGACGACAGATAAGTGCGGTCGCTATATTGCTCATTTTATTTGTGGAAAAATGGATAATATTCCTACTCGACCACATCTTCTAGCAAGCAAAGCCCTTGAAAAAGTCAATCATTCAACCATAGCAAGGTTTGTCAATGATTCTATCAGATTATTATGGCCTGATAGAGATGGTTCTGAAGATGTTTTGATTTTTGTCAGTGATGCCGCTCCGTATATGGTCAAATCTGCAGCAGCACTGGAAATTTTTTATCCCAGAATGCTTCATATTACATGTTTGGCTCATGCTGTTCACAGACTGGCTGAGACTGTTCGAGAAGTATTCTCCTCTGTGAATGATTTAATTTCTAGTATCAAGAAAGTTTTTCTCAAGGCACCTGTGCGCATAAAATTGTATAAAGAAATGTATCCTGATTTGCCCTTACCTCCACAGCCTGTGATAACTAGGTGGGGTACATGGATTGAAGCTGCACGTTTTTACGCTAATAATTTTGATGCAATAAAGTCAGTTGTAGATGCAATTGACAGTTCCTGTGCTTCTTCAGTTTATGTCACAAAAGAATTACTACAGGATATCTCTTTGCAGAAGGACTTGGCCATAATTGACACTCACTTTTCTTTCTTAAGTGGAGCAATAACAAAGCTCGAAACACGAGGTCTTCCCCTGGCTGAGGCCATATCCGAAATTGAAAAAATTCAACAGTGCATCAATGCTCTTCCAGACTCAGTTGGGAAGAAAGTAAAAGAAAAATGGTGTTTCGTTCAAAACAAAAATTCGGGTTTTGCAGCAGTGAAGAAGATAAATGATTTTCTTAATGGAAACGGAACTGAACTTCCAGAGAAAGTAAAACCAATGAGTACGAAATTGTACAAGTTTTGTCCAATAACATCGGTTGACGTGGAGAGGTCATTTTCTGCTTTCAAAATGATCTTTGATGACCGACGACATCAATTCACCCTTGAAAATTTGGAAAAACACTTAGTTGTGTATTGCAACAAAAATTATTCAGTTTAATAAAATCTTTCCGGAAAATGCGATGATTTTTCTTCTCTCATTTATCATACTTCAGTTTTAGGCTTTTTCTTCAGAAATGTGTAGATTCAAGTAAGAAATATTTTGATTTTCTTCCTTTTAACAAAAAAATGTTTTAGCTGTGTTTGTTGGAAAAAGTAAGTAGTAGTATTTAAATAAGTTGAACTTTTAATTTCTATTTTAAATGCATATTTCTAGTTTTAAGAGCATATATTCAAGTTTTTTAGTGCATATTTGCATGCATATTTTGTCCGTTTTTTAGTGCATATAATCCGCTGTCTACTTATAGGGTAGTTTCTTTTGTTATAAACAAATTTATATTTTGTTTCAATTTTTATAAAGTAAGAAAGAAACAAAAAAGATAATTATTTACATTCTTAAAATGTATCAAACTAACATGACTTCAGTTCATATGATTGATTCATGTGTTATGGTATATGCTTATTGCACTTTGAATATAAAAATCATAAGGTGCAATTAATTTTCAACAGAAATGAAAAATAAATTTGGAAAAATTGTAGTAAAATTTTTTACGCTTTTCAGGAAAATGTAACATTTTTACTGTCACTTACTTACAAAGTAAGAGAATTATTCAGTGAATTCTGGCACAATTTAGCTAATTTAATTGTTGCATATAATTACTTTTAACTAGTTTTAGTTAAGACTTTTTTACAGGGTTAAAAAAAACCCGGGTATTTTAGAAAAAACCCAACCCACCTGGGTTTTATTGAAAAACCAGGGGAAAATTGGGTTTTTTCATTTAGTGTTCATAGACTTTTTTTATTTATTAAAAAGTGTTGTATAAGCTTGAAAACAGAAATAAATCCAAAAAGTTATTTTAATTTTGTAATATGTATTTTATATTAAGTTTAAATAACGCATTATCACTAATATATATTTGAATCTTTATTGTGAAGCACATAACGTTTCACAATTTTTAACCCAAGCATTATAAAATATAAATGCAGTAATATAAAAAGAACAAATTTATTAATCTTTTTGTTTTCAAACAAATTTATTTAGTACATTTACTAAACATATATATATATACAGTAGAGAACCAATTATCCGGGATGCTCGGGACTATCGCTATCCCGGATGCTGAACTTCCCGGTTTTCTGGATCGACCAAAAAGTGTCGTTAATCGATGTTTTATCGCACCTGGATTACAAGGAAAAAGTGTAATGCATAAAATAAAAGAAAAAAGAAAGGTACTCCTAACTTTAAAAAGAAAAGGTAAAAAAATAACATTTAAAAGAATAAAAAAAATTTGCAAGTTTAAGCAAGAAAAACAAGTTTAAAAAATACAAAATTCCCGTATTTATTTTTTAAAAATAATCACAATTCCAAAATTAACTAATATAAACAAAACCAATGGTTAAATAACGCAATATATTTCATACCTAATTATACGGGAGGAAACGATAAAATAAAAGGAAAACTTATTAATCTAAATAAAACACTTGAAAATTATCGAACCAAAAACAATAGTTAAAAAAGGCACTAGCATAAATATTAAAACCCGGAACAAGGCAAGATCAACGAAATTTTAAAAAAAAACCTAATGATAAAATGTATGAATAAAAAGAATTAATTTATTGAGTGTGAACATAGTGGAATCAGAAAAACAATACTGCAATTTGCTTCATAAAATAATCCTATGTTTAAATTAATAAACAATTCTCCATTTATTTTTTATTTTTTTTGTTGATAAAAACACGATATTTAATTACAGCAGATGTGATTCCACATCAATAAAAACTTGCAAATGATACCGCACTTCCAAAGAATGAGAATTTATTCAGAAGAAAAAGATTTTATTTTTATTAATCGATGTCAAATATATAAATGTATTTTTCTCTTTCATCTTCTGTTCACTGATATGCATGCAATGCATTTTCTCAGCCTCCCCTCGTAAATCAAACAGAAAATGAAATTAGCATGCTACACCCTTGAGCTTGATTGACGGCCTAAGAGAGAAAATAAAACATTCCTCCCTTCCCTGTCTTCAAGGTCACGGAGGAAATGACGTTTCTCTTGGTAAACGGGGGAAAAAATTCTCCCCTTCCTTACATTTTCCTCTACTCAACTTCAAGGATGAGTACAATTTCCGCTTTTTTTCATAATCGTTCTAGTTTAAAATGGCGGGAAAACCGATCAAAATTTTTCCTGGTTATCTGGATACCGGATAAATGGTTCTCTACTGTATAACCAATTATAAAATTATAATCAGCAAATATTTATAATCAGTAAAAACTAAAATTTCATCTGATTTTTTACTTTAATAAAAAACTGAAATAAATATTTAATGGTCTACCATGTTTTCATAATAAGATTAATAGAAAGTGAAATTAAAATTACGTATAATTATAAAGAGTATCAGCTACTTCTCCATTTTTTTCAAATTGTAATTAACCTTAGGAAAATGATTTCAATTTTAAATAAATAATTTTAAAAAGTTATCTTATAAAAAGTTTTAGCTTATTTTTTTAAAGCCAGAAAATAAAACTGTTTAAATTTGTTAATGTATCACTTAGTAAAAAAAAATTGTTTCTTTTAAATTTTTTTAATTAATAATAATAACCTGTTTATTAATATATAAAGCATGCAACTATATTTGAAAAATTGATCTTTTCTGACATATTATTTAAACTTCTATTTGATTTAATTTCATTAAAAATATTACTTTTTGATAAAACCCACTTAAGCTTTCAGTAGTACTATAGAATTATAGATTTGAGTTTCTTTTACTTTACAAGTATTAAAAACTAGTTCATATAAATCATGCAACTCTATTTGACAAATTCATGTTGCACAATAAATTGTATAAAATTAAATGTGCAACAATAAGTTTTAATTAAAGTGGGTTTTTTCGAGATGGGCCCACCCAATAAAACCCGGGCGGGATTTTTCAAAGTGGGCCCACTTGGCAAACCCTGCTTTTTTGAGACTTTAATAAGAGTCATTCTTAATTTGCTTCTTGATGATTAAAGAAGATAACTACAAAAAGACATACCAAAATCAATATTGGGTAATAAATGAAGTTTATTTCTGTCTCCAGCACTATTGGTAGATTCTGTAGTAGCTGAGCCAAAATTATCTTAAAAAGAAACAGTAATTAAAATTAAGAAATTAATAACAAAGCAAGGTAGTTATTTATCCATTAGCTGGATACCAGATCAGTGTTGCGAAAATCGTCAAGCTTTGTTGTCAAGGTATCAGTCTTTACTGTGGTGGACTTCAAAATTTATTGCATTTAATTCAAACAGTATATTTTTAATTTGTTTTTCTTTTCCTATGACTACAGAGCAATCTTATTATAGAATAAGCATTGCACAACCTCATTGAGAAAGACATTTGAACACCTTTCCTTTTGAAAAATTCCAGTCTATTGAAAAAAATAATTGCTTCCCTTGAGGTCATTGGACAACTGTGTGGGTGATCTTAGTGTTTAACACTTAAACTCAACAATCAAAAAGTTACAACTAGCCTTTTTAATAAAAATTTGATCATTTTGTTGCATAGATTTTTGTTTGGCACCCAACTAATGGACAAGTAATACAGTCAATATTATCATAGATAATTAATAACTTCTAAGTAATAATTAAAGCAAATTAGTTTTTTGCTCTTTTTTTAAAATTCATTTGTGGGTAAGAAGTTTATCAATTAAAAATATGAGTGAAGTTTAATTTACAACAGAGTGAGGGAGTAGAAATAAATACTTAAAGAAATGAGAAAAAAATATAATTGTTTTTGGTATCTAATACCCTTATGAATAAAAAAGTACAATTGTTTCAGGCCTAATAAAATAGTAATTTAAAGAATTCAATTATTTCTGTAATGTAAGGCTCTGTTTAATGTAAGATCATAAACAATTTGCTAGTATTTTTTTGTGAGTTCTTGTTCTAAAAACATGTTAAAACTTAGATAGATTAGAACCTTGAAAACTATTTAAGAGTCTTAAAGAAAGATCAGAAAGAGAGAAATGCTATCGAGAAACGATCGGCTTGAGATAAAATTGTGAACTCAAAAGTTTACACTTATGATGGATTATTTTTCAAAAATAATTAATAACGCAAAACAATATGATACTCCAATACAAAAACTATTTAAAAGATGTTTAATTTTTAAAAATCATTACTTATTTCCCTGAGTACATGCAACATATTCTCATCCATTTGTTGAGAAGTGACAATGTGACTTGGTTCAGTTTGTCTAAGTACTGCAAAAAGAATGCAACAATAAATTAAAAATTATAATGAAGAAAGATTTAAATAAAAGAAAATACTTTTTTAAATAACAAATATACATAATGAACGCATATACAGGACGATTCAAAATAATACAGTCAAAATGAAAGATAATGTCACTTTGAATAGGGGTGTGGTCATTTCTTAAATTCGCCTCTATCAGAAGTAGTTTAACTTATTGTTTATTAGTTGTACTCACAGCTGATCAAAGGATTAAAAATTAAAAAGCTATGAAAGAATTTTCAGTTTAGTTTCGCAAATCACAAAATCATTAAGGTAGAACAAACCATTGTTGAATTAGTATCTAAAAAATTAAATACATTATTCCAAGTAGTTCCTCTGGCAAGACTGACCATTTTTGTTTTGTGGGAGAGAAACTTATTTTTAAAAGTATGTTTAGATTCTTTATACCCCATGTTTTATATAGTCTGATGGAAAACATAAAATCGGAGTTCCTCTGAATCAAACTTTTTATTAAAACTAATAAAACTTGTAGAATCATTATTATTCAGAAACTAATATACCAACCACTTTTTACTCCAAAATTTTGTACAGTAGAATTACTTAACTTTATGCACTGTAAAACTTTGCAATTAAAAGGGTTTCGTTTAAAGTAAGTAAATAAAACAATAAAAAATTACTTTACATTTCCGGCACAATGAAATCTTTGGAAACATAAATTCAATTAATCTAATTTACAATATAGTTAGCGCAATCAGGGCTGCCACTGGATGAAAACAAGAAAAATAGTTGCGTTAGTAGCATCATATATGAATAAAAGTCTCCTAAATAGTCTCAAAGATATATAAAATAGTTGCTAACATCATATCCTCCTCTAATATAATTTTAATTATTTGTGCTGTAATAGCATAAAATTCAAATAACATGCATTTAGATACTCATATTTTATAAAAAATGTAAATTTATTTGTGGATTTTCCAACAATATATTCTTTCACACTACGCATAAAAACAGGGAGTTGTATTTTTATCTGTTACAGAACAGTTGAATTTGAAACTTGAATGTCCTTTCTCGGTTCCAATTTGCAGCTGCTTAGTTTAGACATTAAAAAAATAAATATTGCAATTTAATTCAATTTTATTTTGCTTATTTTTCATAACTGACACATTTCCAAATTTTAATGTTTATCAAAAAAATTACGATCACAACTCGACAAAACGAATATCACCATGTACCTTTCTTTCTATTCTAAATAGCTCTAAAAAAATTTACAACACATTTTGTGTAATTAAAGACAATTTTTCTAATTTTGCTACTTCGTTCAAATTAAAAGAGGGAAAAAAATTTAATCCTCAGAGATATTACATTAGCTTTCTGAAACAGGAGGAGCATTCCAATTCCAATTCCATCAGTCTGATTGGTTAAATATGTCTGTCATGCTTTTGACATCAGACAGTGAGAAATAATAAAGTTAGGATAAAACGAAAGCACGGCAAAAAAAAGTGGGAAAGGGGGAAACTCATGAAGCTATTCTTAATTTTAGTCGCTTTGGCTTAATAAAGTCGCCGATTTTACGCAAATCATTGCAAATTAGTTGTTTTTACTCATATTTCTACTAAAATAGTCGCCATAGTTGCTATTGCTTTAAAATAGTCGTTATAGTCGCCTTTTTAGTCTCCAATGGCAGCCCTGCGCAATAAGCTCGTGAACAATAACAAAAATTAAAACTAATAATAATGGAGATAAAAAATTTGAAAATTTTAATTTGAAAAAAAAAAAAAATTACAGGTTTTTTAAGGTCAGAGCAAAATCATAATCCTATTTTCAAGTAAAACAAGTCGCTCACATAATGCAATATAGCAAAAATTAAAACATATAATAAGGGAAATGATAGAAATAGTCTCACATACATAATTTAAGTAGAGAGAAAGAAGGTGGTGTATCTATGTGATCGGTCATCAAATATAAGTGGCACCTGTCAAGATTATAGTAGGCAGCCCCCAATTTGTTTCCTTGGTAAATAACACTCAAAATCACCTATATATGAAAAGAAATATATTTAAAATGTAGACCAAAGAAATTACAGTCTAAAGCTTTCACTGGGGTTTGAAACCCCAGTTCATTACAGTAACAGCTCAATGCCTTAACCACTGAGTCACAGCTCTTACTGATCGAAAATTTATTTGACGTACATTTTCAAAGTATCATGCTTATTTGTTAAAGCTACATTTCAATATTTAAGCATATTTTATTAGTTGCACTTTTGAATAATTACAAAATATTGTTTACAAATGTTTCATAACATACTTCACAAAATTGCAAATGTTTCATGTTACGGTACAATTATTGCACTGATTCATATGTTATGGTACAGTTATTGCACTGACTCATATGTTATGGTACAATACAGTGTTTTCATCATAGAAAAAAAATGGGTGAGAATTTCCCACCCTTTCTCAAAAACAGGGTGAGGTCTCAAAAAGTTAAGTGAGATTTCTAAAAACTAAGAAAACACAAAAACTCTTGAAAAAAAAATCATTTCTTTAATTATAATAGATTTTNATATTTTTATTGATCTTTTTAAACTAGGAGTGCACAACCTTTTTGAGTGAAGAGCCACATGCACAGTAGATTGACCGATGTAGGGCCGCATGCCAAAGTATTTAGACAGACATGTTGACAGCAATTGTAGGTAGTAATTGTTATATAAACATCATTGTTCTAGGCACTAAATTATTTTTGTCAGTTAACCTTGTAATATCTTTGCATAAAATTAAATACTTTTCATTGTTTAAAAATTGAAACTTCAAAACTGATTACCTAAAAAAAAAAATTAAAAAAAAGAATCCAATAATCAGAATCAATTTATTAAAAAAAATAGATAAATTAAAATAATTTTAGAAGTTTGGGAAACTTCAGTCTCTTTTTATCAGATTGCATAATACAATATTGTTCATAGAATTAAATTTAAAAAATAAATAAAAATTCTTGTTATGAAAATAAATGCAAGTTAAATACTTTGATTTAAAGAAAGTTTATTGGGTTAAAAATGATTAAAATTAAAACTAAACCCTTTTAGCAGAAAATAATATTTAGGATTTAGTAGGGAATATACTTAAACTTTAAAACATTTATTTTAAATTAATTATAAGAGGCAGGGGACGAGAGAGGGAAGAAAGCATTAATTTTGAAGGAGCTATTTTCCTTATTATTAAAAGAACTATTAAGATACTTGTTGGCAATTTTTATGATGAATATTTTTTTTTGACATGACACTTGCTATTTACAATTAATACGCACATATATTAACAATTAATAAAATTTACATTACTCTACGAAATTTATTATGATTACAGTTTTTTACAGTAAAAATGTGAAAATTTAATGATATACAAATCATTTCCCAGCATATAATCATAAATGATATAAAATGGTCCAAGTAGGGAGGAAATGGCTTAGTAAATTTCTTAATGGTTATCTTGTAATTTGCAAAATTTTTAAATATTGTGTTAGTTTTATTCACTTGATCATGTGATAGTTTTTAGAGCCATTAAATTAAAATTTAATGACTTTATTTAAATACGAATCTGTAATTTTGAACTGGCGAAACTCATTCTGGAAAACAGTCTTTCAGCAGAAGCTGTTATTGTGAGTAGTATTAAGTTTATGGCAAATAACTTAATCAGTTTTTGAATTTGTCTTAGATGGTGTTCTTCCTTTCTGGATTTTTAAATAGAGTGAATACAAATTGCAATGTGTAATTTTTTTATCGGTTGAATACGAATTGCTATGCGTGATTTTTAAATTGCGTAAATAAAATACGCGATTCATGGTTTTCAAATAGCGTGAATATGAATCAAGATGTAAGGTTTTGAAATTGCGAAAAGACTACTTATAATGCATGATTTTTAAAATGTGTGAATATGATTCGTGAGAAGAGTAACAATGTTTGATATTTTAAATGTCAGAATACGAATCGCGATTTTAAATCTCGTGAATACGAATCGCGATGGATGATTTTGAAATCTCATTAATGTTAGTACGAAAAACAATGCACTATTTTAAGATCGCGTAAATACAAATTACGAGAACAATTAAAACTTATGATTTTTAAAACGCCTAAATATGAATCGCGACGTGATTTTTTAAATCATGTACATCAACAAAAAGAATAGATTGGGTATGTGTAGTAAAACTAGCACGTGTTCATGGTACTTAAGAAATATGCACATGTTTTGAATTATTTTTTTGCAAAAGGGACGCATGTAATATAGATGTTCACATCTTGTTTTTTTTTTTTTTTAATTATTAAGATTTTTTTGCATAAGTAAGTATGTAATTAATTTTTAAATTAAGTAAGTAAGTGTAATTAATAAGTAAGTATGTAATTAAGTATGAAGTTAAATTTTTTTTTTAAATAAATCGAATCTCACGAGCTGTAATATTGTGTTAAAATGTCAGGATATTTTAAATCACAAGTAAAATTGGAGCAATAACGGGAAAAAAAAACTCATTCGAAAAATTTCTTATATTTATGTTAAAATTTGCACTTAAAAATTAATTACTTTAGTGCGCGATTCAAAACTCTTGTGCATATATATTGTATTAAAAATATCAGAATTTTTTTTTAAATCACAGGGGAAAGAGTAGTAATAACTACCAAAAAAATCAAGATCCCTTTAAATTCATGATAAAATTCGTGTAAATAAATTACATAAAAATGTTAAATATTTAAAGGTAGGATTTGAAATTAAAGTAACGCAATAGCGTTATAAAATATCGGGACTTTCAAAACCTTTTAGAAATGTGTAGCAATAATTAAAAAAATAAAGAAAAAATAATTGGATTTGCGATAAAACCGGTACAAATAAACCACATAAATTTTTTTTTATTTAAATGAGCAATCCGTTACTAGCGGTTTGTAATAATAACATGCTATAGTATTTAAATTTTAAAAACTATGCGGAAATACGCAGCTATAACTGCCAAAATAAGGATCAAAAGTCATTTAGATTTTCCATGAAGTTTGCACAAAAAAAAAAATCTTTTCATAACTTTCAAAAATTGAGATTTCTGAAACTACGTAAAAATGGGTAGCAATAACTACTGAAAAGTCATTGGATTTACGATGAAATCGGAGCACAAGAGCGTCAAAAGTGATAACTAAAATTCGAAATTCGCATATTGTAATAATGATGTATTGAAAATATTGGGATTTTCACAACTATGCTTAAATCTGTAGCGTTAAGCATCGTAAAAAAGCAATAAAAAAACTACATTGATTGAAATTGGGCGTCTCAAAAACTTAAATGCGAAAATGTCAGATTTCCAAATTTGTATTTTTCAACAAAAAAAATTTGAATTATTATTTTTTTCCATTTTGTTCCGATTGCGTCCGCGGGTCGCACATCGACGATTAGTGGGCCGCAGGTTGTGCACCCCTATGGTACAATTATTGCACTGATTAGGAAAAGAGCAGTAAGAAAGGATTGTTTGTATTTAAACACAAATACTCCCACTCAATTTTAGAAAGAAAAAATTTCCAGGTAAATTTTAATTAAAATCCATGCCATATTTTATCTAAACCTTGCTATTTTCCATTAGCAAACTTGGATTTTTTAAATTTTACTTGTGATATCAAATATTAGATTTCGTGAGCAAAAACATATAATAGAATGAGAATTGAAATATGGAAAAGCTTCACAAAAAGGTGGAATTTTATAAAATAATTGTAATTGATGTTATTTAAATCAAATGTCAAAAACTGATTACAGTTATTGACAATTTTAAGACTGGTTATTTTCCAGTTATAATATAGGAATTTTCCAGGTTTTTTGCAAAAAACCTGGGATGCTTTCCCTGCTTTTTAGAGTTAAAATAAAATTCCTTAACAATTCCAGGTTTTCCTTGTTCACCCTGACCTGTGGGAGCCCTGCTAAATACTGATTTAGAAATTTTATATGTGTTTCAACGACTTATAATACACATTGAATTTTAATTTATTCTTATTATTTTCAGCCTAGCTGTAAAAGAAGGAACTTGTCCATTTTCAGAGAAGAACATAAATTAATTACTGCGTATTAATACAATATGTACGCATTACCACAATGCCAATTTAATATATTGTCACAATTATTTAAACATTACTGGCATAATCAATTATTTCAAAAAATTTTTTACTCCCTTTCTCTGAAATGGATAAGTTCTAAAAAATTTAGAAGAACATTATTGTACATTTATATAGTTAATTACTAGTTTGCTAAATATAATTTTTGAAAATTTGTTTTAAATTAAGGATTTTAAGACTGATTGATTTATTTTTGAATTTCAAATTAATTTCCGAAGTTCATTGTGCAAATTTGAAATTCAAAAGTAACAATTTAGTAGTAGAAAGATCTTATAAAAATATATAAGAAAAAAAAATTTCAATTACAAAAGAGGTAGCATCCTCTTCAATTTCAGATTGGCTTTGATTGTCACTTTGTTTTGAAGACGTAGAGTTGCTTCTACTGATTCCATTTGAAGTACGCATTCCAGATGTAGATGTAAACATTATGTATGAAGTCTAGAAATGAAAGAAAAAATATTATTAAAATAAAATTGATGCTTACATTAAATGGTTCTTGATTTTTTTTTTTTTCATTATTATTATTGACTCATACTGTAAAAGTTAGGGAAAAGATAAAAAATAGATTTAAGATGTCACTAACTTGTAAGATGTGTAAAACAAATTTAAAAGAATCACTATAACATTATGTTTTCTCACAGAAAAATATATTTAAATAGTACTTTATATTCTTACAAATTTCAAAATGTTATTTATGTGCAGGGTTGGAGTTTTTGCCGGCAAAAAGGGGTTTTTGCCAGGACAGTGGCAAATACCTGGTAAAAACCGGCAAAAACTGGTAAAAACNATTTTGATGTTTTTTTATTACTGTTAAAGCCACCTTAAATATTATTCTAATCAATAAAAAAGAATTAAAAATGTCAAATTTGAATTGCTTTTATAATTTTTTTTTCTTCCAGTCTTATAATTTCATGAATGCAATGATATCTGTCTCCTTCCGTGAATATATTTTATAACATATAATCATATTTATAAAGAAGACTTATTTATCGAAATTAAACCCATTTTAATTGAGAAACATCACAACTGTCAGTATCAGAGATATATAAAAGAGTAAACCAAAACTCAAAATCTTTTCGTGCCAGGACAAATTTTAAAGGAGCCAGCAGTTCAAAAATATTCAAACTTTCCGTCTTGTTGACCACTTTATACACAAGAGATGACAATCTGTGATGGCAACCACAGTCTTCCCAATGAGGTAACCCAGGTTCAAACTCGAGAGATGGACACAAATTCCCCAGCTAACACAGTGGTGACGTCAAATATCCTCAGTGCTAGACAGATTCTAAGAATCCCCTTGCTGTTGGGCAAACCACGAAAAGTTTTCCTCATCTTGTAACGTGAATGTAGGTTAGTTCAATGACAAAGTCTAACACAAAGGCTAGTTTGTCCCAAAGCTTTCTTGTTTTCTGGGTTAAGTTTAAAATTACAAGGCTGTGGAGTTGAACATTGATAGTGGTAAACATCGTAACAGTTACATGAGAGAAACTATAAAACCTAACAGAATAGGACAAATTTGAAAGGTAAAGCTTGTATTCATGCCCAAGCAAGCCAATATATATTTTTCTCTAATATATTTCAGAACCGTGAAGATTTATTAGGTGTCTTGGCAATTAATATTGGCATAAGCCCACACAGACAGCAATAACCCTGAGATATCCACATATGTCAGTAACTAATCCAAATATATAGTGCATATTTCCACCATCTCTCATAGGTATCGAAATAAGTATGGATTTGGATATTTAGAACATTTCTGAGATATCATTCCATATGTGAAGAAAATGGACATTTAGGTAGAAGGGAGAATCCAGACATGGGAGATGATTTCCATATTGCAGCAGAATAATCACAAAGTCTTAGACTCTAAAAAATAACATCTCTGAAGGGGATTTACCTCTACATGTTTTCTTTTTCTTTCAAATTTTGCAAGTTTAAATATCTATTTGGCAATAATAGTTGGCCCGATTTTGGAAAATAGATTTAAAACAACATTCAATACTCACTAGAGTAAAATTATTATATTCTTAAGAAAAATGTTTCTCAAGAAAATTGTCAAACTTTAAAGACAGAAATATAGATAATGATAAAATAAAATTAAGCTTTTAAGAAAGATTATCTGCTTTACAGATCTGACTGAAAATTATATCTTCTGTAGTCAGGTGGTGAAATTAAAAAGAAAAGTCCTTTTAAGGAAAATATTACGAAGACATTTAAAAATTTAAATAAAACATTATCTTTTAAAAATTCCCGCTTTAAGAACGTTTTAAGTAATGTGGAAAGTATTCTCTCTGCAGATGGCGCTGCTATTCTATCAATGGCGAACTTGAGAGCAACATTTGCCTGTGTGCAGTTTTATGCGAGTGATTGTCACAAGAGAAGCATATAAACTTTATTGGTGTTTTAATTATTATTTCAGAAATGGGACGAATTTATTTCTGTCCTGGTTGCAAAACTGGGTATCAATCTACTACAGCTATATATAAAAGAGAAGGGAAAAAAGTACCATCTTTATTCGAAGCACCTTCTCTCTGTATTTTATATTTAAGAGAAAATAACTGTCATTAATTACGTTCAAACTATCAACAACTGTTAGAATTTGATTTAAACGAAAAAGAAATATTTCCGAACCGCTTAGTTTGGCTTAAGAATTCACCAGAATAAGAAAATAAGCGTAGAGCAGAGAACTCTCTACCTATGATAACATTTAGCATGCTTCCACCGATAGCGTGTGGAAGGTCATAGGAGAAGGAAGTACGTCATTTTTCTCAACAACGAATTCAACAGAGAGACTTACTCTAAGCAAAATTGCCTTGGAAAAGTGATTAGACAAAACTAACTGGATAGTGCGAAGCGACTGCACTTATTTTCTGCCATCTAATTATTCTGGTTTCTACATTCATCATTGACCGTGTCTTGGTGCAGATGGCGCTAAGGGTTAAAAACTAGTTAAGACTTCTGGGTTCCAATATTATTGTACTTGTATTGTTTTCAATATAACGTGTTCTTTCAATCTAACCTTCATTAATACATACAACAAATAAATTCGGAAGACTCCGCAAGCTTGTTGTGATGATACCCCAAAAATATAAATAAGGGATAAAACTCGAACTAACCTTTCACTTTTTTTATGCTGTAAAATTTGTTTTTTTCTCATGACCAGTTAGAATTTAAAAATTACCGAAAACTTTAATGAATTGTCTCAAGAAATCACAAAAATAATAAAACTCCCTAGAACATTGTTTCCCAAAGTGTGGTACGCGTACCCCCAGGGTAAAGCCTGTTCACAGCCACCTTGGTGGCCAAGACAGCCACACGTTGCCTTGTAAGCATAACATTAGCGGAGGGATACACCAGTTCTTATTGTTTACCTTTCGTCCTGCAACCATGAATTAATAAGAGAATTTTGTATTTGTATTAAATAGTTATGGGAAAATTTTGTTTTTGTGCCGGATGTAAGGCGGGTTATCCATCAAACAATTCAGAAAGAAAAACAGCTTCCTAGTATTAGCATTTTTAAAGCTCGGAATATAAGTTTTTAATTATGATTTCGTTTATTAGCGTCGAAATAAGCTTTTACTTTTGATACATTTTAAATATCCCCTAAATATCTTTGTTTACATTTTGCTCATTATAATTTAGAATTGTTTTTTAATATATTTGTTTTTAATCTTCCAAAGCTTAGTCCTACATTGTAACCTAACATTTTCGCCTCTAGGCGGCACTAAAGAGCTACGAGGGGCACGTTTTGGCGGTTAAATTGAAGTTTATAAAAAACATTCGGCGTTGTAATAAAAATTTATTATTGTGTTTAAAATACTAGCTTATTATGCCAAGAATTTGTTTTTGCCCTGGTTGCAAAACGGGGTACACAGCAAACAAAAAAAAATTGAAGAATGAAGGAAAAAAAGTACCACCGTTATTCGGTACACCAAAGGTAAATCTTTGTTATTGTTTACCTTGATTGTATTCAATTACCTCAATTGTATTCCTTTTTTTTTAGCATTTTGAATGTAGTAATCTAACATTAAGGAAATTAATTTGAATGCATTTGACAGGTTAATAGTTTTTAAGTGTTGTATGTTTGAAAGTTCTTGTTTTATTTTTTAGAGAAAGAGTTTTATGTTTTCATAAATTTATGTTTAATAATAGTCACTTAAGTTGTTTATTTTATATAAACTTAACTCAAGTCCCCCTTCATTATTTCAGATCGTTTAAAAAAAAATTGTCATGAACTATCTATTTAAATTCTTTTAATGTAAAAAAAGAAAGATATAGCACATAAAATTTTTTTTTCTTGTGTGTAAAATTTAGAGTACATATTTTGATTGTGTAATTTAATTACACCTCCCTCAAAATTGGCCCTCTGCGATGCTCATGCTTTCATTTATTTAGCTCTGAAAGATATTAAATTCCTTAAGCATAGTCTAAATGTGTCTTTTCATTCTTTTTCTCATCTGATTATTAAAATTTTTATTTTTTGAATACTTTTCTAATAGTTGTTTTTTTTGATATTTTTGAGTTCACATAGTTATTTCTTTTGAAAAAATCATTCATAATCTTCATTATAAATGGAAGAGATAGTAAATGAATATAATGAAATAAAAATTAAAATGTGATAAATTTAAATATTTAAATTTTTTTTCTAGTTTTGTACTTTTAATGAAAATTTTATCTCAATCTAACACAAGAAGTATTATAATAAATTATTTATGTTAAATAGAAATGAGACCATCTTTGATCTTAACCCTTTGACGGTCAGGGAAATGAGCAGTTTTCGTTTCATTAATTCTCACAGTATTACGAGCAAACAGTTGTTGAAAGTGGCAGCTGTTTTACCCCGCCGTTCTTCCGAAAATGTAACGTTCTCTGGCGATGCCAACTGCTGTGATTTCTGGAATTGTTATAATAAAGTGGTAGCAAATTATGTAGTAAAATTCATGGGAGAAGAACATTTACGCCTACTTTTTAATTGAGTAACCAGTAGATTGTTGCTTTAACGTTACATTTTATATGATACTTATAATTGTTGATATTTAGTGGTGAAAAAATTACTTAAAAGAAAAAATACTAAACTGAAAGTAACTTGAATTTCGCTACCTCTAGAAAATACTATTTTACAAAGCGGTGCCGTAAATAGCTCGCTTCACGCGTTTTAAAAATTTCTTAAAGTATTTGTAGTACATAAATAACAGCTTTTACATACTTTAAAATAATAAATGAAAAAAATTAATAGTAAATTATAAATGATAATAATCAATTATATAAATAATAGTTAATTATAAATATTAGACAAATATTAAATTGAAAGGACTGAATAAATACAACTAATGTAAAACTTTATGAAGCATTTAAATACAGTAATTACCTAAATACTCTGAACAAAGTCTACATCAGACTCAAAATTTGATAAGCTTTCTGTATCATAATTATCCAACTTTCGCTTCTCACCCATTTTACTTTACAAACACCCTAAAAAACGCGTAAAAATACGCATAAGAAGAACAAGGTAAAAAAATTAATTCCCACTTCTCTATAAAAAGAAATTCATGGAACCCGTACTGCTATCTGTAGGCAGTTAAACTAACTACGTTTCGAGAGTAGGATTCGTTTTTAACATGCAGAATAATAATGGCGAGCGAGCTCAGCGTGCATTGGGGAGAAATTTCACTACGCGAGTAGTGAATGTTACTAACCATTACGGTCGAAATCTTGCTCCCGAGCGGAACTCGTTTGCGCGCATTATGAAGCACGATTCAATTGCGAGCTGAACTCGTTCATAACTGTCAAAGGGTTAAATAAAAGTTAACCTAATTTATAATATGGATAGTCCGCCACGAAAAACGTGTTAAAAAAATTTTAAAAAATAATAACTTCCCTTTTCTGATCTGCAGTCAACATCTTTCATCACTGCAGAAGAGAAAGGCAAGTAAACTAGTTTTAAAAATAAAAAAAAGCTTAAGATTTAAAGAAATATATACTGGCATATATTTCTCTCTATAGGTCATTATAGAGTTTTTATAAAAATTAACTTTTTAAAATTCGGTAGTTTTCAGAAGAACCTTCTCCAAATTTGGAGACGACGAAAGGATTGACACTGGATTCAAAAACCAAGAAATTGTTTGTAGAAAGTTTTCAAGATTTTATGTTAACAGAAATTTTTTATTTTATTTAATATTGATATAATCTGTATTAGCACATATAAGAAACGTTTTTTCTTTGTATACCTATGAAATTAAGAGAACTGTATTGTATCTGTGTAGTTTAATTTTGTTACCCTCAAGAATTGGGTCTTGCTATGTTCATACTTAGCTCATAAGTTGACTGTTATGTATTTCAATAGTCTCGCTATTTCCCAAGAATTGTCAGTGAGTTTTTTTGGGTTTTTTTTTCACTCAAATTGCTTTATTTGTGATTTTCAGTGAATGTCATATAAATCTTTTTTGTCCATTTGTGAAACTGCCTCTAAATCCAATATAGCCCAAAAATGAAAGGATTAGGGAGGGAAATAAGTCTCACCTTTTTTTTTTAAATTCTTGTATTCAGCTTTATTTCGGTTATTTTTAACAATCTCATCGCATTTATTTGTAAAATATTCTATAACTTAAGTTTTTACAATTGTCATTTAGCATTCAAATATGATTGAACACATTAATTCTATTTAATTACACTATTTCTTTATGCTAATAAAATAACCTACTCTTGTAATGTCACTTATTTTTGTTATTTAATGTTACAGTATTTTTGATGACTTCAAAATTTTATAGTTCATGAATATGATTTGAAATGTTTAAAATTATTCCATTATAGAAGTTTTTATTTCTAGAAATGCATAATATGCTTCTATTTTGTAATCAACATATAAATACAAACTTTCTTCAACTAAATTTATCAGTAAGTAACTTTTAGGACCCTGATCTGTTTGAAATGTGGAAAAAAGCTATACCTCGTGCTGATAGAATGCTAAGGCCCACGGATTTTGTCTGTGAACTACATTTTAAAAAAGAAGAAATTTTAAAATATTTTGAAACTAAATTGCCTAATGGAGTTGTAAGTTTTATTTGTTATTTTCTTTTAAATCAGACTTATAAAATGTTTCACGTAAATTATATATATATTTTTGCAGATTCATCGTATATTACGAGGCCGTAAAGGGCTTGTACCAGGTGCTATTCCAAGTATTTTTCCTAACGTTCCTGGGCACTCTACATTTGTAGAAAATAGAGCAACAAAATTAAAGGAAAAAATTGTGAAACGCAAGAAAATTTCATGTCCAAGTAAAAAATTTGTTTCATTATTTATATTTTCAAATTAAAGTAGCATATATTTGGTGGGATCGATAACAATATTGAGGCTTCGAAAGTTTGACTTTTAAGTTATCAGAAGTTGCAAAATATTTTTAGATAATTCATAAATTATTGATTCCTTTTTTTCAATTGTCTTAATTTTAATTAAATGTGAAAAAGGTCTTTTTTTAAGCCTTATTTTTATTCTCAAAATCACACTTTATCCATCATGTTAGATCCAAATAAATTTTTAAGAATAGTGATAAGAATCAGCTGATGTATAGGCTCTAAAAAGTTTCCGTAAGATTTTTATCTATTTCTTAAAATTTTCCAAATTTTAAGTTAGCGCTTACATCTAGGAGCATGCAAATTTGGGAAAAGCATACAAGTTTCTGGATCAAAGTAGAATACTTGATTTGAAAAGATCCCAATCAATAAAATGCTAAATGTTGCAAAATGAATCAGGATGTGAAATTTGGTTGCAAAAATATGCAGTCAGGATGCAAAAATATCTGGAGAAACATATAATGCCGAAAAAAATCAAATACAATAAAGCACTGTTTTTATATCTTGCAGGAGAGTGTTGTAAATTGCAATATCCTTGATACTTGTAACCCCTGACCTGAGGTAGAATTTTTTTGAGCTATCTGCAACAAAACTCTCTAGCAGTAATATCTTTCTACAAGATACTTTTACTAATAACAAACATGTATGTTACTAATTTAATGTAACAAAAGTGCTACGTGTACAAAACTATTTTTTTTATTAAACAGGTACAAAACTTTTTATTCTAACATTATGGGTGATATTCTTGCATTTTATTGGGGAGGGGGGACGCACAAATTATTTCCATCTTTGCATTTTGTAAATAATCATCATAATAAAAAAATTCCTGAAATTCGTTGTAAAACTTGCCAAAAAAAGATTGTTGACCGTAATCACACGAATCGAACTCCTCAAATGTGTATTTCATTTTGAGATTAGGTTCTTATAATCAATAGTATTGTATGAAAAATATCGGCTGTAAAAACTGTGGAGAAATCAAAAGCAATAACTGCCAAAAATTCGATATATTCGAATTATTGCCTTAAAAAGTAAATACTCTATTGTGTAATTTCAATTTTCCATATTGTTTGATATACATTGGGATATTTTAAAACCACACGAAAATCAATATTAATAACTGCTGTAAATACAATCCAAACATTGCATTGATTTACGATACTATTGCGGCATAACCTTGGCGAGTTCTTGCACAAAGATTTTGATATTGCTTTTAGGAAGTAAAAAAGTTTGGTTAGTGTATCCATAGTTTGGTAAATCCATAGTGTTACAATTGTACTTTATACAGTTATTGATATTGATTTTCACACGGTCTTTAAAATCTGATATTCTTAATATGATGTTTATTACAAAAACCAAATCTCAAAACAAAACACGCATTTGAGTAACTTCTTATTAAAGAGTCCGATTCGTGTGATTTCGTGGCCCATCTTTTTTTCGGTAGTTACTGCAACAGATTTCTCGATTCTTAAATTATTATTTTTTTAATTAATTTATTTATTTTTGCAAAATGCAAAAAAGGAAATAATTAGCGCATTTTTCTCCTACATTGAATATTATCCATAGTATTAGAATAAAACAAATGTTGCATATTCTATTGAAAAAATATAAATGCAATTTATTTTATCAAAATAGTTTTTTTTTTATAAACACAACGTTTTTGTCACTTTAAATGAGTAACATATATATTTGTTATCATTGGAAGTATCTTGCAAAAAGATGTTAGTGCTCGAGAGGTTTGTCGCAGAAAGTCCGAAAAAATTCTGTCAGAGGGCTATTGTGTAAACTGATCATGTTAAAAAGTGATTATTTAAATGCATGATTCAAATATTACATGTAAATTACTGTAAAAAGGAAAAGTAAAATTTTTTGCTTTTCAAAAGAAAAAGCTTTCTGTAACCTTTCTGAAAGTACCTACATATTCAGTTCTTTATAGAGTTTTCTTTAAAAAGTAGTCTCAATATGCTCCCTTTCCTCAGATATTATCTCAGATTTCCTTACCTCACTTATAAAAAGAAGGAAAATTAAATTTTTTTTAATTGTATTTTCCTTTCTATAAGTTTACACCCTATTTTAAACTTTAAGATGAAAGGTTTAGCCTGTATATTCTAAATCTATCCTGGAATTCACACCTGTTGAAAAACTAATTTTTAAACAACTGCAATGATATTTTATAAGCTAAGTTTGTAAAACTGATGCAGTAAAGGCAGCTTTATTTCTCAAATTAATATTACTAACTCAAAACTTTTAGCTTTTCATATTTTTGTATTTATATTACAGATTTGTTAAATTTTGATGATTTGGGAGAGGAAAAAATTTCAAGTTGAATGGCAATATTGCTTTATAAGTCGACCATCGATTGGGCGGTTTGAAATTTTTAAAAATTTATCTTAAAAAGAATGAATATTTTCTTCATATACTACTCTATTATTAATGTCAAAGCCGATGATTAAAAGCTTCTGATTAAAAAACTACCCTGAGTTCAAGTTTGACTGTCTATGTTTTTTACTTGATTAAGAAATAAGTGTCCGTTTTAAAATGGAAAAAAATTTTTATTTATTATTTTTATTCTTTCAAAATCAGTTTTTTGGCCAGTATAGCTATGTACCTTTTTAATAGAACTTTTCATAAATATCTCCAATTAAAAAAAAACTTAAGCTGTTCTTCTTAAAAGTTGTTTTGTGTTAGTCAAAAGTTAATTATAGTTTTTTTTAATTTAATTTATTAATAATTAAAAAAAATGTTATTTTTTGTTCTCTATTTACTGTTTTCAGAAAAGAAAAATGAAACAAAGAAGAAAAATGACTCTTCACATCAAACAGGGAAAGAAAATATTTTAATGGAAGTTATAGTTGTACAACCTTTACCAGAAAATTCTGCTGCCACACAACCATCTCATTTACGGGAAAATCAAAATGTCAAAGTAGCAAACTCTTCTCTTTCTATTTTAGAAAAACATACCAGGCCTGAATCAGATGCACCAGCTTCTTGTTTATTTTTTGATGCAATCGCTGTGAATTCAAGGCAAAATGTATGTAATAAGATCTTGACAGAATTTCCTTCAGCTGATAAGCTAACCAAGAACTATAATGAGCAAAACAGTTCTGTTACAAACGTAACTGAATCATATGTGCCTGATGCACTGACTGATAATTATTCTAAACAAAATAGTACTGATAGAACCATAACTGTATCATTTGTGCCTGATATTCAAACTGAGAATTATTCTAAACAAAGTAGTTCTGATAAGACTATAATTGAATCATCTGTGCCTGATATTCTGACTGAGAATTATTCTGAACAAAATAGTCTTGATAAATCCATAGTTGAATCACCTGTGCCTGATGCACTAATTGAGAATTATTCTGAAGAAAATAGTGCTGATGGAACTAAAATTGTATCATCTGTGCCTGATATTCGAACTGAGAATTATTCTAAACAAAATAGTTCTGATAGAACCGTGACTGAATCATCTGTGCCTGATGCACTCGCAGATCATAGTACTTGTGAAGTAATTATGACTGAATATCCTACTTATGACACTCACCCAGATGATTTATCTGACCAAAGCAATGATAATGTAACTTCCGCTAAACCCACAGTAAGTGATGCTGACCGAATCATTTGCGATAAAATTAGGGCTAAAATTAGTAAAATTTTATCAGAACCTGACATTGAAGAACAAGTTTCTTTTGATTTCATAAAAGCTAATCTAGATATGTTTGAAACAACAGATTCCTGGTGGAGAGTGAACGCGTTTAATAACTTTATTGTGTTTAGTCGATGGAATTCTGATTATGCTGTAGATAGAAGGATAGTGATTACTAAAGACCTTGCTGTAAAAGTAAGTAATATTGAGAATTGATACTTTGCTCTTAAAAAAATGGATTACCGTATATTCGGGCGTATAACACGCACTTTTAATACAAAAAATAACATTGGAATGTACAGGTGCGCGGTATACGCCGAATATAAAAAATATAGATTCAAAAAATTTAAATATAGAAAAATACTTTTATTTTAAAGAAATAACATACCTTTACCTATATACTTTATTGATTTTCGTTAATACGTACATAGTTAATTATATTTGTCTTCCATTATTTCTTCAGGCACGTCATCTCAATCTGTTTCGTCTTCATCATCTGTGTTACCCTCATCCATAAATAAACAGTCATTTTCTGATCCGTCCAGATTATTTGAAATGCTGCATTTTTTTAATGATTTTCTAACCATTTCAGGCTTAATTTCATCCCATGCTTTTAATATCCATTCGCACACTGTTTCCAAACTTGCATAGCACATATGTCCTCCTTTCGTGAAGGTTTTCTCGCCCTCCAACATCCAAGTGTTCCACTGTTTTTTTAAATGGTTTGTTTAAGCAGACGTCCAATGGCTGAAGAAATGGTGTTAATCTGCCCGGAATAACTGCCATATCGGTGTTACATTCTTTCAACAATTTTTTTGTATTATCTGTAAGGTGGGACCAAAACATGACCCACACTAAAAAGCTTTCTGGTTTTCTATAGATACTAGACGAGATATTGCACATGTACAATCCAAATTTTCATGCGTGTTATACGTAGAGTGTATCTTAAAATTTAAAAAAAGTTATTAGAAATTACGGGTGCGCGTTATACACCGGAATATGCGGTAATTGTCGCATAAAAAAGCACATTTTAAGTGATAAAACCAAGGAAGTGTACTACCCTGAAACTGGAATATAATGTTTTGTTTATTTCATGCTTTTTTTGGGGGAGAGGGTGAGAATAAAATTCAATTTTTTTTTATACAAAAAATTAACTTTAATCAGTTAAATGTCATCCATCTGTTCAACGACCTTTCTTTGGTATCTTCATGTTTCTGCCCTCATAGAACACCTGGTTCTTATCAACAAGAAAAAAACCTCAATCAAGTGTGATTTGAGATCGTTATTATGGCAAATTTTTACCACTTAAAAAGTTTTAACTTTAAATTATAATCCAATGGTGTAGTGTCTGGGTAATATAAGAAATTGCAAAAGAATTGTGGTTGACCACACAATGTCAAGCCTTACACATCTTTAGCAATATGTAAGAAATAATGGGAGCTTAGTTTTTGGAAAGTAATGTTGCAGCACATTGTAAATAAACACGGAGGCAGCTACGGGGATATAAATTAAAGGATCATAAAAACTAGAACCTGTTACAAAAGCCTTCAAAAATTTTGGAGAGCATCGAATATAAAATTCTCGCAGAACTAAATATTTTTAAAGCTGTTGTTTGCCCCATACTTTTGTATGGTGCTGAATGTTGAAACCTCTGCCGAAACTGAACAAGAAAAATTAGGAGCATTCCAAGAGAAATGTTTAAGAATAATCTTGCACTTTGATCCCAATAAATGTGCCTTCTTCACTCTATAAGTATTTTTTTTTTTTGGAAAGGGGTAATATTAATACATTTTTAAGTGATTTTAAAACTCTTTTTTGAATACTTTTTTTTTAGATGTATCTTTAAATGTTTATTTTTAGATGCACCTTTAAATGTTTATTTTCTCATAATTTTCAGTTTAAATTATTAAAAAAAAGCTTACAAGTTGTTTATCAACTAATCCTTTTTGTAATTTACTTTTTTTGAAAAAAAAATATGCACAGAGATTGTCGTTTAATACGCCTTTAATTGTTTTTATCAAGTACAAATTTTTCTCTTATTTTGATAGTGAGATTGAATTACTTTTTGAAATATGCACATAAAATTGTATAAGAGGGTAATTTAAAAACTTGAGGATAAAATTTAAGTATTAAATACATAATATTACGCATATTTTGATAAATTTTTACGATGTTAAGTGTCCTTTCGGAGACTCAAACTGCCCTATCAGAGAGGAAGCGCACTGACTCATTTTTATTCCTAGGGTGAACTCTAGTACTTGAACATGGAAATATTGTTATATAGGACACAGTTGAGCTGTAGAGAAAACATTGCTTTAAAGGGCTTATTGTTGAGCAGGACTTTATTATTTAAAACAGAGAATAACATTAAAGTATGTAAAAATTAACTCGAATCATTAAAAGTTATTTGTTGTGGAAGGAGAGAAATTGTTGCTAACTCATTTTATTGATTAAATATCAAGTAATTTTTATAATAAAAAAGTTTACTTGTAAGTAATTTTTTTTCTTATTTAATGATAATTTTCTATAGAAAGGTTTTCTACGTCCGATTAAGAATTAAAAAAACATAAAAGTTTTTTATTTTAATTTGAGGAATTTTTGAAATTGTTTTTTTTGTTTGTTTTTGTTTCGTAAGCATTCTTTATTTTACGTTTTTTAGTTTTTAAATATAATGATTTTTATTGAAACTTAAAATTTTTTGATAAAAATTGTTGTCAAAAAACTTTTTTTTGCAAAATTAAATTATGTAAAATTATGAGCATATGTATACTTTTTGCTTATTTTAATGTTTGAAGTAATATTCAGGGTATTCGCTCACCTGAAAAGTCATGAAATGTCATGATTTTAACTATTTTTTTAGAAAAAACATGGAAAGTCATGGAGTTTTACCCCTACTCTTAATTTCATGGCGTTCCGAATATCTGAATTTGTAACAAAATCCCCACTCACAGACATGTTTTATGAAAATATAAAATGTTTTTATCATGTTCTTTCAAAAAATGAAAGAAAAAACATTATTTCTTTTAAACTTCTGTGTTTTCAGAATTTTTTTTATTATTTATTTTTTTTATTCGAAAATGAGAACAGAAAAATCAGGAGTATTTCTTTTCTTTCTGATAAACAAGAAAAGAATCTTTAGATTATAATTCTGCAGAAAAAAGAAAAAAAATGATTTGCTTTTGTATTTTTTTCAGCTATTTTATTGTTTCAACTCTTTTTTTTTTTCCCTCTGTTTTTTAAATTTAAAATCTATAAATGTGAAGATGCACAGTATAACTGTTTTGATTATACCTATCATTTCAATTAATGTTATTATAATGCTTTTTATTATTATTCTGTTTTTGTCGGGAGAAAATAGTAACTTCTTTAAGTCATGAAAAGTTCTTGGAATTAGTCATGAAAAGTCATGAATTTGAAAATCTAAAATGTAGCAGATACCTTGAATGTTCCTAAAACTGTGGAATGTAAAGTTTAAATAAGCCTTTCATGTTACATCATTAAATTTAGTAAAACGATTTCTCAGGTTTTAACTCTAATAAGAAGATATTACTAGCATTTTTTCCCTGTTTATTTACAAATATTTTTCTATGTGTTTTGGATATTCCTTCTCTAAAAAAAAGAGATACCATTTTGTTTTCACTTGCATAAGAAAGAATATCAAACATATTTCTTTTTTTAAATTTAATAAGTCCCAATAAAGAAAGTACGTTACAATACTACACTACGTCTCCAGAGCAACTGAATGACTTCATATGGAAATCACAGGAATTCGTCTCATACAACAGCGTCTCCTATAGTTCGTTGCGATCGCGAATACCTCTATGACTTATATCAATTTTATGCTGATAACAACCAAGCCAATATGATAATGTGGGAAAACTGGATCCTACCATGTAATTTTCCGGTCAACAAAAAAGTACTGACAACTGATACAAGTACTGATCGTTAGATATTTATATATATTGTTAGAAATATGTGAACTTATTATATTATTGTTGTCTTAAAATTCTAATAATTATTGATAATTTTTTTAAGGTTTTCCTGATGGATAGAGAAACTACAATTGGACGGGATATGGAAAAGTTCTCCATCTATGACATTGCAAAGCTTATTTACAGAGTTGAGAATTTGAAATTATGTAGTGGAATCGATAAAAAGTAAGTTTTAAATTTTTTTTTTAATAATGAAAAATTTTCATTCTTTTTATATTTAATGCATATTTATTTTTCTTGTATAGGGACAGAAATTGTGCAGGATTTTTACAAAGTGTATTCATGTGCAAAAGACATAATTTGTGCCTAGATTGCATAAAGTGGAGAAAAGAAGAAGCGAAGGAAGCAGTCAAACGGTTAAAAGAATCTCCAAATTGCATTGAGCTACTTAATTTTAATTTAATCACTTAGTGTTTCTTTTTAAATTTTTATTTAAGTTTTGAAACATTTGTATGTTATGCAAAGTATTGCAAAGCATATTCGGTATTTGCATTGCATTTGTATGTAAAAGATTTACGAGTAATTTTGTTGTATTAGTTTTTTTCCATTACTATGAAATTAGATTTATTGTTTATATTTTTATGATAATCTTGTTATTAAACAAATGTTCATTATTTTTGTGCATGACTGCGCAATAAGCTTTCAAGTTATGATCGGTTGAATAGTTATATATATTTATACAGGGTGATTCTAAAAAGATGGGCAAAATTTTAGGAAGTGATAGTACACACCCAAGCAAACAATTTTTATCAAAGAATGCATGGTCGAAAACAAAACGCAAAGCCGCTAGAGGGCAACAAAGTTTATGTTCTTATATGAGGCAAAAACACACAACAAACGATGAAGTTTAGATATAAAGGCAAATTTAATGGCATGTGATTACAATAAGTGTTCAAAACAGTGGCCGACAGCGGCTATGCATGCAGTACAACGGCGAAGAAAAGATAGGCGAACATTATGAAACACACCAGGCATATCACGAACTTTCCTTGCAGCAGCCGAAAGCTTGGCGACAAGTAACGCAGCGCAGTAACTCGCAACAGGAATGGAGCTTTTACGTTTGCATCAAACAACTTTCCAAATGCGCCAGCACCTTTGCGTTTTGTTTTCGACCATGCATTCTTTGATAAAAATTGTTTGCTTGGGGGTGTACTATCACTTCCTAAAATTTTGCCCATCTTTTTAGAATCACCCTGTGTATAGGAATCTGAGCTTGTAAAATATTATAGTTTTTCCATTATAACTATTTGCCTTGTTTAGATTGCTTTAACTGTTTCACTGGTATTGTAATGTGACAGCTTAAACTTCATCCTAATATACTTTCAACACCTCTTATTATATTAATAAAAGTTATTACAGATTTTGCTATTAATTTTTTCTGTCAAACCCTAATACTTTTAAGGGTTATTTTTAATAATATTGACAATATTTACAAATGGAAAAATAAGTTAACTTCTATAATTTGATGTTAATTTTTTGAAATTTTTAGTGCTTGCAAATAATAATATAAAATACAGTAGTTTCTGTTAGAATTGCTTTATTGTTAATCATTTTTGAAAACAAATAAATATATTAAGCATCTTTGCACAATTTAAGAACATTTAATCTTGACAACAAAAAAAAAAGAAAAGAAAAAATTTCAAATAAGTAAAAAAGTAACGAAGAAGTGTCGAGAAACCGAAGGAACCCNTGATCAGCAAATCTGGGCCTAACTGCATGAGTCATCGTTTTGCGCCCTTCGGCTTTCTTCCCTAGAAGGTATTGGCTGAACAAGGTTCTAATCCCAGCAATGGCTGGTCGATAGGAATGCACCCGGCTCGTACCGACCGCAGTGCTGACATAAAATATCCTCAGTGGTAGACTGATCATGGGTTAGTCTCCTTTTGCTGTCAGATTTTCTCTCTCCATGCAACGCAAATGCTTGTTGATTCCATTAATAAAATCCTCCATGAAGGTAAATTTCTATCAATACTTGTCTTCTGGATTAGGTATCAAATTAAAAGTTCTGTGATTGTTGATTGCTCTGCACCCACATGAAAGCAATTAGTTAATGATTCCCAAGTTCAAGGTTTGGGGTAGGTATTGATCTACAAATTGAACAGTGAAAGAACGTCATTAGTATTCCTGTAATGAAGACGAAACCAGCCAAGTAATTTTTTCACCAGTGAAAAAAATTAACACGGAAGGAACTAAATCTTCAGTAAATCCACAAATCGCCTCGCAAGCGTAACATAAGTGGAGAGATGCACAGAAAGCTTTCTAAATTTACTTTGGCTTATGTAGCTTAGTAGTTGCATAAATTCAGTCAACCATAAGTTGGGGACAAAAATTCGGCGATGTTTAGTTTGTTCCTATACTCAGCTATGTATGTGATTTTATTTTAATATTTTTTAGCTGTCGTTGATCAGTTGACCTAAGTTTACGGCTACCAATGTTCAACTCCGTAGCCCCGTAATTTTGATCCAAATCGAGAAGACGAACTCCTGGATCAGGAAACGCCAGAGGTATTGATTTGTTATGGGAATTTGGAGGACTTTGCGACTATGACAGATTTTACGTGCACCAGTCACCATTTAATAGACGGGGATTCTTCGGTCAGCTGGATATGAATTCTCACGAACAGGAGTCGCATGCCCTACCAATCAGGCTATCCCGACCCTGTTGTATGTGATTGTACGAATCCTTCTCACCGAATCAAACGCGCATGAAGGCCCGCGAATAATCCAACAAATAAAATAATATGTGCTTTCGTACTATACGAGCGACAGTACGCTGAAATAGGTTGTGTTTTAATGAATAGTGAGGCTTTTGACTACGGTTTCGTGACAACAATCAACATGCAAAAAAAATTTGTCTCTGAAATCTCGACATGGAAAAGAGAAAAAAGCACCTCTAAAGGCTTATAAAAAATTAAGCTCGATTTAAAAGCGCTATCCCGTACTCATTAAAGCAAATTAACCCCTAAGAAGTTATCTTAATAAGGAATAACATCCAAAGCATGGTTAACCTTACACTTTATGCTGTAATTTTAATTTTCAGAAAGATAATTCACTTAAAAGTAAGTAGGAATTTAAGTTAGTAAGTATGCACAAAAGTAGGAATCTAACGTAATAATAACGAAAACATTTTATAATGATTGGGTTGTTAACTTCCATTATTATTACATAAAAAATAACCCTTCCTTTTTGCGAAAATAAAATCCTAGCACAATCAACCGAAAGATTAATAACGAATTAAAGCAATTTTTTTTCATTGTAACAAAATTTTGATTAAGCTATTAATAAGTCTACTTAATTATTACGTAAATTAAAAATAATTATTTCTTAATAATCCCTAAGGAGAAAAAGAAAACACTCACCCACAAAAATGTTGACTCTAGTTTATATAAAGATAATTATAATCTAATTAAAACATTGATAAATCTGGGGGTATACATAAACTTAATTTTACTATATAGTTTATTAAACAAATTAGAAATTGTGTGTTTCAAATATATCAGCAAAATCCTGACTTTGGAAGCTCAACAACCTGAAAATAATTAATTGATAAAAAAAATTATTAAAATGTGTCTAAAATTTTAATGAAGTAAATTTATCTTTATAGCTATCATAATACGTCTAGTTTATAAGAATGATAATTAAATATAAACAATTATTTATAATATTGTTACGAGGCTAAATATTTCAGACAGACACTATAACTAAATAAATTAGGAGATTTGCATGAAAATCTGGTAATTGTGAGGAAAAATAACGCCTAATGCATGTTGGAAATAATAAATATCTCAGTGCATTGATTCGACGGTAGTTTGGGATCGATAATGGTGGGTAGTGATGAGGAACTGTAGTAGGAGCGGAGAGAGGGTGCCTTGCACCAAAGTAAATGGGGATCGTGAAAGCTAATTGCTCGTAACGTACGATCTAGCCGTATATTGAGAATATCAGTCTTACATTGTATAACTGAGACATTGCAAAATATATTCTTTTTTCATAGTGAATAAAGAGTTTTGAGCTGATAGTATCTAGTAATACGTATTATTTCCCCAATAATCACGAAGTCAAAATTATTTAACGGCACGTCTATGACTTCATTAAACAATTCTTTGAAAAAATGGCACGTTGGTGCATAAAGGTTCGCCACCCCTGCTATAGGCGATCGAAATGGGCTACAGGTACATTGGCTACATGGGACCGGTCTTCTTACCAGATGGCGCATTCAGGTGTTACGATCGCGAATATGAAAATAAAGCAGCAATATTTGAAAAAATTCAAAACTATATGCCAACACATACAAATTCAATAGAAATGAGATCTTACCACACAACTGATGGTAAACAAAATTCGTGATGTCAGGCACTCTATTATATATTTTTATTTATATGCTAGCAACAAGCTGAGCATTGGGTCAAAGCACAAGCTTCAAAAAGTATTAAGAGATATCAACAATACTTTTTTTCCAGGAAGCTTTTCATTTCGAAAGATAATATTAAATTATAAGGGTATTTCATTTTTTAAGATAGTAATTAGCATTTATTTCAGTTCTAAACGCATGAAAATACTTTTCGATGTGTTAACTAAGTATATAGGAAAAATATCTTTCTACAAAATATGTTTTTATCATTTTTTTTTCCTGTTTGTTTACGATAATTAACTTTTCTAACCGCTTAAAAAATTTTCTGTTGTTTTTACTTGATCGTAAACGTTTGTTAAACAAGAATAGTTTGTAACTCAATTTGAGTTTTGCAGATTTTAAAGAGTGCTATGATACTCGGGGTTTTAAGTGTGTATTAGAAATAATGAGAAGATTTCCTCATCGGTACCCACAATTTTAGAGTCAACTAGGCAGTGGCATGGAGGAAACTGAGGGATGCGGGAACATCACTGAAGGGACCGATTCGAGGAGATAAATTTGCTTCCATTTTTGGGCAATCCCCTGCAAAATCTTTTAGATTCACCACCATGGCATCAAAATTTTTTCGGTGCCATGGTGGTGATGTTAGTTGGCTCAAACAGGTACCGATTCTGAAATATCCATAAAATAATGTAATGAAAAATAATTTTTTTTATATTTAATTTTAGTGATGCCTATGAGATGTTTTTTACCCGGTTGCAGAACTGGCTACGATTCCGAAGTAGCTAGAAGAAAAAAGGAAGGAAAGAAAAATCTATCACTTTTTAAGGCTCCCAAGGTAAAAGACTAAGTTAAAATCAATTTTGCTTTTTATTTTTTGAAATCAATTTTCCTATTTTAAAAACTCTTTCTAGTTTTTTAAAAATAAATTAACTTTAATTTTTAGAATTATCATTTAGTATTGAAATTTGATTGAACACTGATATTCAATTAGATTAAGTGTCAGGAAATCTGATTTATGGTTTTGTAAAAATGCTTTTGGAAACATAAGCAAAAAAATTAAGATTCCTGAGTTGCTCATGTTATGTAAAAATTATGACCAGGCATATATTTTTTGTTGAAGTTTACTATTTTATTTTTTGTCTCAGGTTATTCATTTTTAAGTGTAAAATTATTTTAACTCCACTGCCCTTATCAGAGCTATAAAATGTTCTCCTTGCTGATAAAAATTGATTACAAAGCTTCCTTGAAATTCAATCATTTTTATTCCCCTTCGATATCAGTATTTCTAAAAAGTGTTGTTTTTATGTTACGCAGAATTGTGTAAAAAATATATTGCTCCCTATATTTTTTTCTCCTGATTTTACAAAATAGGTATATTTATTCTAAAAACTATTATTAATTTCATGTACTTTAATGGTTAAATTATCTTTCGAACATTAATAATTATATATTTTGGTTCCTTAAAAGTTTATTTTGTTAAAGTAAAGAATATTAGAGCATATTTACAGGTCCTAAGATGAAATTTAGAAAATTCTTTATTTTCGAAAATTTAGAAAATTAGAAATTTCTGTCCCTTTTTCAAGTAAAAAAAATCTAATTTTCATATTTCATATAATTTGGAATACCCTTCATTCCAAATCGTAGTTTTTATATAGATATTTAGGAATTCTTTGCAGTTTTCTTATAAACTAAAATTATTTAGTTTTAACCAGGCCTTTAGCTATCTTTCTCCACTCTACTTGAGTTCTGCCTTGAAAAGATGTATATAATATGTTTCGTTTCACAATCTTATATTCTTAGTCTTTTTTTAAAAAAATATTTTTGTATGTAACTTAATGGGACTTAATTAACCTTTTTATAACTTGACTTGAGGCAGGCAGAGAGTCTCTTTTGCGAGCGCCTGTCGTGGGTGGAAGGGCTTTTTGGCTGTCAAACCTAAATACATGAAATAATCGAAAATTAACATGTTCTTTAATAACTGCAAAGTATACAAACAGCATGTACTGTATATATTTTTAATTTATACTGTATTTACTTAAGTTTTTTCTTGTTAAAATACATTTTTCTGCCATTTCATATGCATTTAAAAATTTTCCATGCTTCAACATTGTATTGTTAAAGTAAAAACAGAAAAATTTGACATCAACAAGATCTAACGATCAAATGAAAACTGGACTGCAAACCCAAATACACAACGCTTTTGCCAATCCCCCCCACTCCTTTCTCTCGTATTTTATAATAATTTTTGCATTTTGCCTCATTTGTTCAAGTTCAAGATGGCCAAAATTTTTCCTCTTTTTTTTGGATACTCAACAAAAGATTCTGCACTGTAGAAGAAGAGATTTTGATTCTTAAACATTGATTGATATTATTAAACTATTAATTTTCAGTATGGTTCGGTTAAAAAAGCTATAATTGAAAATTACGGAAAGTACCAAAGCATTAAAACAGTTTGCATGAAAAGATAAAATTTTGATTTTACAGCGATTGTGATTCTGAAAAATGCCTTTTTTTAAATATTGAATTAATTGAGTAAAAAAGTGATGATTTTTTGGAAAACTGGTCATTGGCAGAAAGATTCCATTTTATTGACATGTTTTTAAAATTTTTATGTGATTTTAATGTAAATTAATGCTAGGTGTATATATTTTTCTTCTTCTTACAAAATTGGATTTTTTTTATAAATAAATAGTGAAATTAAAAAAAATTTTTTTAGGACCCTTACATGTTTGAATTGTGGAAAAAAGCTATACCCCGTGCTGATAAAACGTTAGGGCCTAAGCATACTGTGTGCGAACTTCACTTCAGAGAGGAAGATATTGAAAGTTATTTTGAAACAAAATTATTCAATGGAAATGTAAGTTTTCTGAGATGTTCTGCTTTAAATCAGACTTTCCCAGTGTTTAATCAAAATTAAATGTACCTTTACAGATTCATCGTATTTTCAGAGCTTCGAAAAAACTTAAACCAGATGCTATTCCATGCATTTTTTCTAATGTTCCTGGACACTCTTCATTTGTTGAAAATAGAGAAGAAAAGTTCAAGGAAAAATATGTCAAACGAAAAAGAAAATTACACTCTAATAAGAAAACAGAATCTAAAAGAGCAAAGATTTCATTCCCAGGTATTAAAGTTTTGATTGTATGGTCAATTTTTTGTATATAGTAAATATCGTTTTGCCTTATGCCATTGCCTTATGAATTTGATTTGCACATACAACTGTAACAAACTTACTTGAAAAATTGCAAACATAATGATTATTTCTTTGAAGAGATTAAATCTGAAAATTATAGCTAAAAACTAATTACAAATTAGCTTCATTGGCCATCTTAAACCATTGCAAAATTAAAAAATGAGTTTCATTTTTAAAATAAGAAAATTATTTTCTCATTCTCTTCATATAATATATTAAGAATATATTATATCTATTATATTAAGAATATATTATATGTAGAATATATTATGAACAGAAATATTTAAAGTTAATATTTTAATATTTTCAGTATTTTGGATAGTTTAGTTTTGTACGTTCAATATTATTTTTGAAAAAGAAATCGAAAAAGGAAATCATGTTCTTTTTTAGAATAAATAGCAATTTTAATTGTATTAATTAATTGTATGAGTTATTTATACAGTGTCACGTCCCATAATCGGACGTCCCTTTTCCGGAAGGGTCGATTTCTGGGACACTTTTTAACAATCAAAATAAACAAACATCTCTTCATGTTCCCGTCTCTTAAAAAAAAGGAGATTTTTTGACACATTTTTTTTCCTTTTCTAGCTTCTAGTGATTTATGCATTGAACCTATAAATCATCAGAAAGAGGAAGAGAAGATTTACCAGGACCGTCGAGTGACAGTTAGTGACGTTCCTCCTCTAGAATGCAGGGAAAGAGGGAGATTTGTTTTCAACAGAGCACAACTGAGTCCCCCCTTCTTTCCTATGCAGCTGGCTAGTAAAAGAGGCTTTTCCTGGAACCTTTTTATTAGAGTGTTAAGGAAAGAAGAAATACGGTGAAAAAGTAGCAAATGTTAACGTGGAGGGGGAGTCACTTTTAGTCACACAAGAAAAAATAAGGAGAACCCAATCAGTTTGCCATGCTTTACGCTTGATTGATAGCCAATGATCAGATCAGAGAGAAAATAAAAATTTGGCACTTCCCCCGCCCTCAACTTGAATGACAAGTAAGGAGGAAATGAATTTGTCTCCTCCACCTACCCACCTTAATGGGTGACGGGAATTTCTCCTTGCTTGAATCGTTCCAGTTCAAAATGGCGGAGAGAGCAATTAATATTTTCATAACTGTCAATTTTTTTTTCGTTTTCTATATTTTAAGCAATAATTATTTTTTTCTAGTATTTTGATTGATTAGATATAATTCTAATACTTAAACATTATTGCCTGAAAAATAATGTTTATTTTTTGTTTCTTAGATTCAGATCGTTTATTAGATCATTTTAAGCTTTGTTTACCTTGGGGTCTATTATACGGAAAAATCTAATATCCGGACTTATGGAGGTCCCATCGATTCCGGATATACGACTTTCCACTGTAGTTTTTTTTTTAATTAAAAAAAATATTGTTTTTTGTGAAAAAAATTTTATTATTCAAATTTGTATAAACTTATTCCTTACTTTTTTTTAGATAATGAAACAAGTAAGAATAACAACTCTTCACTAAAAACAGAAAAAGAAAATGTCTTGATGGAAGTTATAGTTGTTCACACCTTACCAGAAAAGTCCTCAATCACGCAACCATCTCGTTTAAAGAAAAGACGGAATGCAAAAAAATCAACAAATTCTTCTTTTTCTGATTCACATAAACATATCATGTCTGATCCAGAATCCTCAACTACTTGTTCACCGCCTGCACCTGATACAATTACAAATTACTCCCCTAGGATAAACACATATAATAGAATCTTGTCAGAATCTTTTGCACATGATAAACTAGCAAAGAATTTTATCGAACAAAACAGCTCTATAGAATCACCTCTGCCTGATACACTAACTGAAAATTATTCTAATCAAAATACTTCAAATAGAACCATAGCTAATTCTTCTTTACATGATGCACTCAAAGACAAATATTCAGACCAAAATGCTTGTGATATAGCAATGACTGAATATCCTACAAATGATGCAATCTCTGATGATTATTCTGACCAAAGCAATGATGATAAAACTATGAATGACTTTTTTTCATTTCAACCCGCAGAAAGTAACTCCGACCCTATCATTTCTAATTCCATTAGGACTGAATCTAATGATATTTCATCAGATTCTGACACTGAAGAGCAGGTTTCATTTGATTTCATAAAAGCTAATGTAAATATGTTTGATACAAGAAATTCCTGGTGGAGGGTGAATATATTTGATGACTTTATTGCATTTAGTCGTTGGACTCCTGATTATACTGTTCAAAGAAGAATAGTGATTACTGAAGATCTTGCTGTAAAGGTAAGTCATATATATAACATAACCTTTGTAAGTGTATTTGACACATCAAAAAATGAGAGAAAGTTGCACTCCATCCATGGCAATAATTTTATTTTTGTTACAAGTAACAAAAGTAAAAAGTGCATACTTTCCTTGTAAATGATTATTTTTCAAATTTAGTACTTCTAATTGTGTTTTTGTTACTTTTTGGAGGAAAAAGTATTTGAATAGAAGATATCGAAAGAAATAGAAATGTAGAATTGTCAAAAAAATTAAATAGTTGTTGATATTGTAATGAATTTGTAACTACCACTATGCATTATTTTTTGAGGGTAACACACCTGTATTAGAAAAACTGTATACTTCCATAGGGATGACAACTACTCTGTTTTTTTTTTGCTCAACTCTTGATAAATTGGTGGCGAATTAAAAAGTAAGACTTGCTGAAAAAGGGATAATATTATTATCTTTTCATAATTCTCACTACTAAGGGATGCCAGGACGGCTGAACGTGCAAAATGTGGCGACTAATAAAATTCAAAATTTTGTTAAAAGGTATTAAAATTAGCTTTTTATACAGCATTTTTTTTTACAATTTACTACTGATAGGGAATGCAAGGAATATTTTTGGTTTAAATATGAATAATTTGAGATGTATGTCACAAATGAATCAAATTGTTACTTTTTTCTCGAACATAATGATCCTTTCCTGTAGGGTCAGCGGAGAGGGAGGTCAGAATTGATAGATTTAACGAAAAATTACAATGCAAGAAGCCTTATGTTTCAATTTTACTTGTTACCTTTAAAAATCAATAGTTTTTACTCATTATTTTTGGTTAACATACTTCTACTTTTACTTGTTGTTTTTTTAAAGTAATGTTTCCATGTATGCTACAAACTTACTAGGAGATATTTTTAGGCTTTGTAAACTAGGAGGTGACTACTGGATTAATTGGATAGATTGATAGTAGATTGAAAGTAAATAGATAGAGCATTAAAAAGGAATAGGTTGTTGGATCTATTTCTAAGACCTTCTTTGTTGGTATAGAACATTCAAAGAGATTAAGTTGTTGGATCTATTTCTAAGACCTTTTCTGTTGGTACACATCTGCCTTAACTTCTTAGAAAGACATTTGTGTGAGTGACTTCCAATCCTAACTTATTATATATTGGAATCTCAAAATTTTTGACTATTGAGTTAAAAAAAAAAGGGGGAGTGGTTAAGTTCAAATATTATCTCCAGGATGCTACTGCCAGGAAGTCTGTATTTCCTTGTCAGTGAAAAAAAAAATGAAACACTAAAGTTAAAATGGCTCTTCTGAATTTTAAGCATGGGAATGCTTTTACAGAAAGAAGTAAAGTTAAGATATTGAAAGAATTCTTGCTGCACATTGGTAAACAGAACTTTGTTTTAATTAAAGGAAGAGTAACCTTAGAGTGTACAAATTCACTGGAATCATAAAAATTGTGTTGAATTTTATTTGATTAAATGAATTTCACTGATACAAAAATCAGTTTTTTGTTAAGCTTTTTGAAAAGCAAAACTGGAGATTTTTTTGTTAGCAATAATTTAAATCCGTCATCAAATAAGTAAAATTTCTTACTGGAGGTAAATTTCATTACTTTTATTGATTACCTGTATTGACTTGTACTGAATTAATTACTTGTATTGATAGTATTACTTGTATTCCTAAAATTCTAGCAATTATTGCAATTTATTTTTAAAGGTTTTTCTGATGGATAGAGAAACTACAATTGGATGGGATATGAAAAAGTTCTCCATCTTTGACATTGCAAAGCTCATTTACAGAGTTGAGAATTTGAAATTATGTAGTGGCATTGATAAAAAGTAAGTTCTGAATTTTTTTTACAATAAAAAATCTTGGTTCTTTCCATATTTATTTTATATTTATGCACACACATTTCTCTTGCAGGGATCGAAATTGTGCAGGATATTTACAACGTGCATTTATGTGCAGAAAACATAGTTTGTGCCTTAATTGTATAAAGTGGAGAAAAGAAACGAAGAAAAAAGCAGTTAAACGGTTAAAAAAATCTCCAAGCTGTATAGAGCTTCTTAATTTCAATTTAATTACTTAGTTTTCAAAAGTCTATAAGTTATATAAGTCTTGAAACATTTGTATGTTATAAAAAATACTGCAAGAGTATTATGTATATGAATGTAACATGATTATGAATTTGTGAGTATGAATATATGTATATGAATATTTTGTATCGCATTTGTCAATAAAATTTTGACTATTTTGTTGTATAGGTTTAAGTTTGTTAGCATTCAATTTATTTTTGAAGAATTAATTATATATTTTTAAATTTTGGGTAAGAAGATACTAATACTGTTCAATAAAGTTGCCAATTTATAATTGGTGAACCATTATTGTTTAAAAAAACTGAATTTATGAAAGGTTTTAATTTTTTGTTATAAGTGATTGCCTAGTTTTGATTGCTTTAACTGATTCACTGATTTTGTAATGTGACAGTTCATTCTAATTTATTTTTGCCACCTCTTGTTATTCTATTAAAGGATATTTAATTTGTTGTTGTTGTCATGTTCCAAATCAGGGGTTTTCAACTTACATGAGGCCGGGGGCCACAATTAAAAACATCAGTCAAATGGCGGGCTGCAACTTTGTCAAAATTTTATATAGGACTTTTTTTTTGTTGGAAGGAACATTAAATATTACTGTCGGATTTTTATCAAGTTGTTCAAAAGAAAAGTATTGAACTACAATAAATTATAAATATTTTCTTGAATAAATATTTTATTGGATGCAAAACCTGAAAGTGAAATTTTTTTGCACCGTTGGTATGTTAAATTTCACAGACACGAAGAAATTAGTATTTTATTTTAAAGAAAGGCATGTATTTTAAACCCATGTAAATGTTTTATGAAAATTGCCCTAAAAAAATTGCAACTAATATATTTTAGTTCGTGGGCCACAAAAAGAGCTTCGCTGGCCGGATGCGGCCCTCGGGTTGCCAGTCAGTAACCACTGTTCTAAATCTTTACCTTCTTAGAGAATTTTTTAAATAACATTGACATTTTTGAAGAATATAAAAGTAAATGAAGTCACATTGATTTGGTACTTGTAAGAATTCTATTAATGAATTTTTAGTTTGCAAAAGTTTTAAAATATTCTCTAGCTGTAGAGATTTTAAATTCATGTGGAAAATATAAGAGCTAGTTTAAAATTTTCAATTATTGGATGATTAGAAAAAGTGACTTTAGCACTTGATACTTTCTAAAATTTCCATAAACCCTCTGCTATTAAAATTTTTTTTTGTGTGAACTGAACGTAATTGCTCTTTTTTTTTTTTTTTTTTTAATCATCTATACTCATAATAATGTCTGTATAATTCATTACAATCAAATCTCATTGATGCGAAATTGCTTAACCTGAAATATTGCTTTACAGAAGAATCGCGTGACTTTCTAAAATTTCCATAAAACCCTATGCTATTAAAATTTTTTTTGTGTGTACTGAACGTAATTGCTTTTTTTTTTTTAAATCATCTATACTCATAATAATGTCTGTATAATTCATTACAATCAAATCTCATTGATGCGAAATTGCTTAACCTGAAATATTGCTTTACAGAAGAATCGCGTGAGTCGGCAATCATTTATTGTATTTTACATGTTCAACACTAAATTTTCAAGCTTATTATCGCTTAACACAAAAGCAAACTGGACACAACCCAGATAATAAGCATATGGATAAAATGCCAATTATTCATTTAGAGGAATGCTATTTCTATTTCTCCCTTTGCTAGATGTAGCCGATGGGCGAAAAAATAAAATAATTAAAGTAGTTAAAAATGTTAAACCTATTGTAATTTGTATTGTGCGTAATAGTATTGTTTACATACATAAATGTAGTACATAATATGTATTAACAGTACTTCATAAATTGTTTTCATGATGTACCGGATAAGATGAAATTCAGTTTTTGTTAAAGATTATTTATTACGAACGATTGAACTTAAAAATAAATTTTTTATTTGCCATTTTCATTACATCTTCAAAAATCATTTAGTTGAGAAATCATTCACGAAAGAAGTATTGCAGTGAAGTCTTGATTTTCAAAACTTTCGAAAGATGTGATATGATTTTATCAATTTTGACTCCCTGTTAAAGTACACTTTCCTTTCCTGCATAACTAAAAAGAAAAACAAAAGAGAAATTTTGCTACTTTAAAGCAAATTAAATGAATGAAATTATATCATTCAAGTGAGCGGTTAATGATCTCGCAGAATTATCTCAAAGACTTTAGAACAACTTATTAGAAAATGCACGTATGGCAGTGGTGGGAGGTCACGTGTAGTGTTACTTCCATCTAACTTCGTTAGAGAGTTACGACTTGTATGTAACATTCTCACATAGGTCGATAAAGCTGTGATGGTTCAGGGGTTAGAGCGTTCGCCTTCCAGTGAGGTGAATCGGGTTCGAATCCCAGCTATGATTAGTCGATACGCATTCCATATCCGGCTTGCACCGACCACAGTGCTGACGTAAAATATCCTCAGGGGTAGACGGATTATGGGTTAGAGTCCCCTTGTCGTCAGGCTTACTGTGAGAGGTTTTAGTGGTTTTCCTCTCCATGTAACGCAAATGCGATCAGTTCCCTCAAAAAGTTCTCCACGAAGGCAAATTTGTCCCAATATTTGATCCAGGAGTTTTCGTGTCTTCTGTGTTGGGATCAAAATTATAAGACTCACCCAGGGTTTTCCCTGGAGTTGCTTTTGCCTCTCTTGCTCATTATTTCGACGTGTTGCCATGGATCGTCACCAATCCTACCTTTAAGAATTCTTTCTTTTCCTGCTGAGCAGTCAAGTGCACGCACTTTGAGTCTATAGTATTCCCCGGATGATCAGAAGTCGTAAACCCAAAAAATTTTGTCTGCTGTTCAACGACGGTTATAAGAGAGCCAACATCTATCGAAAAAAAACGAAAGAAACTTTTTCTCGTAGGCTTAACCAAGGCTGGTTTATTCGTTACTCAAAGATGAAACTACGATTCCCTACCTCATGACATCCCGCTGCACATAGATCTCAAAAATCACAACTGGAGGATGTGAAAACTTTGGACACTTTTCTGATAATAGCTGCCAAACTTTACACTGCTAGGAAATTATTTCTGTTCAAAAATATGGTATTCATACATTTTCTTGGTATTCTTAATTGTATTAAAAAATAACAACCAAATTCGTTAAAATAATATTTAAATAAATATAACAGTGAAAAATAACATTAAAATGAGAAGAAAAAAAATCTCATATCTTTCAATATCTTTTCATTATCGTTTTCTTATTTTAGTTTCTAACTTTTTCTGTTAAATAAAAGAAAACATATAAAAACACTTTAATAGTAACATAGTGTCCGATTACGATATGTAACTATAAAAGTTTCTTCATAGTTTATTAATTGGGATGTCTAATTTTAATATTTTTTCTTATACATAATAGCAATTTTTTTTTTTATATATTATCACTAGGAAACAAATATCTCAAATGATAATTATTAAAAAAACTAATCTTTGGGCATATAATAATGGAAATATTACACTTTCTCATAAATATTTAAAATTACGGTGTTATAAATAAAACGCATAAGTATTTTGAACTATGACATTAAAAAATATATTATGAAATTGGAAAATTTTTTAAGACTTAATAACTTTTATTTTTGAAGTTCAGGATTTTATTTTGACCTAGTACGTTTCTTTTCTTCCTTTCTGTTTTAAGTTACCAGACGATATCGATTTCTGTGGTCTCAATGCTGGGAATCGTTCTTTCGATCATGAAATTGACAGATTAGCCCTCTCCGCTATATGTTTCCATCTGTAGTAAACTAAGTGGCTTCCTCCAATTTTGAATTTTTTTTTAGCACTATGTGAATTTTATAACAGAAAAAAATTCTTGCTCCTTGGATGGTGTTTTCAATATAAATGTAAACAACAGCAATCTCGAGCTCTTGACCTGCTCTACTTCCGGTTAGAAAGTATACAGCTGCTTACTACAGCTTATTCTGCGATGTAATATTTTCAAACAGATAATTTTGTTTTTAATAAAGGAAATAAATTATAAAATTTCTGAACTCAAATCTGCTGTACTTATTAATCATATTAAGTAATTCTGGTGAGTTTGAAGTGAAAATTCGTTTTAGTTATTTATTGATGTATTGTTAAAAAAGGTGGCATGGTTGCTAGATTTAGAAAGGACTCGCTTTTTTTGGTATTCCTGATTTCGCCTCGTTTTACTTATTTATTACTCTTTGTTCTTGGTTCAAGCCGTGCACCATCATTCGCTAATCTTAGCGTATTGTTCGAGCAGCGAAATTAAGTTCATTTTACAATTTATCATTTCGGTTTAAACTTCGAAGTTGGTTTATTGTTAACAAGGTAAGAAGTGTTTTATAACTATTGTTTTTTCAAATGACAATTCTTACGTCTTGAAATGACAGGTCTTCAAATGACGATTCGTATAAAGATCCTTCTTTTGAAAAAAATAATAAATCAGGTAACAAATATATCTATACAAGAAATATTACTCTAAGGAGTCTTAAAACAAAATGATCACGTTGTGTGCCGAACAGCATTAAAATACACCAAAAACAGTAACCCGGAAGCATAGGCAGTCAAGAGCTTGCAGTCCCTAGTGTAGAACGCCATCCATTTAACCAGTTAAGTGATATGCCCGAACACCGTTCCTGTGCATCCCGCAGTGGACTGATCGCTAAGACACGGTTCCCAGCAGATCACCAAAGTTAAGTATCACTGGCTGCGGACACTGTGCGGGTGGGTGACCACTTGGATCAGTCTGCTTAAGTTGTTGTTGTTAATTTACGTCGCACTAGAGTTGCACAATGGGCTATTGGCGACGGATTCGTAGATGAGACTTTGAGTTCTGAATGGAGAGTTTTTTTTTGCGGGTAAATTTATCTAACCAATCAGGGTCTCATTTGCATCTCCGAATTCGAATCTGTGATCTTTCGGAGGAATTTTCTGTTCTCTTTTGCTGATCCTTAATAGATTTGTTATCATAGCTTTTTCGAACCTGAAAATAGTTATGAATCATCCTGCTTACTGTACGAATAACTAAAATTTCGACACCTGCTAAAAATTGTTTATTTTGTCTTACCCCTGTCGGTTGTACTCCCACATCATTACAGATTGTGCCCTCTGGTTCAAGAAATTCTTCTGGCATGTCTTCCCCTTCATACTCACAATAAATGTCACAAGATCGCGGTTGATCA